TAGGGCATCGCCGATGCGCGAAGCTCTATAATTTGAAATGTATACTGATGTGTATTGAATGTATTTCAGGATACTCTCACATACTTCAACATCATTTTCCACCAAAACCCCAGGATTGCAAACACTTGCAAAGGCTCATCCGAATGGCAGATGTAGCACGTTGCAATCCAAGTCGCGGCAGCATCATTTGAGCATGGAAAACGTCCCCACTGCCTGGCGGAGCCTTTGGCACACGTAGCGATGTCCTTGGCACATCCATCGGTTTTAAACCAAATTGGGAAGGTGCGGCATCTGGGGACGTTTCACGTAACCCTACTGACCACACTGCATAGATCTGTATGAAGTAATACCATGCCATACCATGTCAAACCCCTGTCCGGAAAAAGGGACAGCTCACAGGCAAGCGCTGAGGCTGTGTCCCACAGAACCGCACCATCGCCCCAGAAGCGCGAGTTGCCACACAACGCCGCAGCATGGCTGGCATGGCCTGAAGAGAAAACTGGTAGAGGACATCACCAAAGATACTCCAATCATCAAAGATCTGCCAAACAGGACGTTTTGATCGTTCATAACTTTAGATATATGCTTATTTTGATAGACTTGTGACCATGTGCTCTGTTTATTACAGTCTTAATCTCTTCCAGGCACTGACGATGTTTTGTTCGGCTCCAATTTGTCCAACCTTCAAACGGCTCTCGCAGCGGCGCGAGAGGAGTGCTCTGAGCCGTTGCTTCCGTTGAAGGCGCACCATTGGATCCAATGGCAGAAGCTAACAACAACCCAACGAGACAACCATTGCTGCTTCACTACTACCAAGTTGCTGTACAACTCAGCAATGGAATTCAACCCATTCAAACTCAAACAGGATAGTCGTGCGACGACCCGGCTGGTGACCACACAACAGAACAGGGAAAAGAAAGGAAATCATAACACGTGGACAGTAAGACCGTGGAAAGCCTGACGTGAGGTCTCGCATTGCATTGCAACTTTTTATGCACGAAGCCGTGAAACGGTGTCCGTGTACGCTCCATCTGTTGGGGCATCCAAGGACTTGGAAAACCATGAATCACAGCAATGAGCTGAGCTCCTTTACATCATCCGAAAGCAATTCGCAAGCAAAAGTGGGGACGAAAGCTGTCAAAGCTTTGTATAATTTGTATATAGACCAAAACATACCAAAATGCCTTTCGCAAAATAGCGGGATCACAATGTGCGGTTCAAAAACAAGAAGGACGCACTCAGTTTGAATTCCGACCTTCTCTGGGGAAGACCTTAAGCCTACTGCATCGTGTTCGGATTTCAGATGATCCACCCTATGCGGAACCAACCCGAACGCGGGCGTCCCTGACATTTAGAAAAAATTCGCCGGCGCCCTCCGGCAAGGGAGCAAGATCGACAAGTTGCCGATTGTCAGGGTGACGTCATGGCTACATCATCGCACGTTGTATTCAGGTTTCCAGGCGGAATTGTAGGGGATCTCTTTCATGCTCTTAACCTGATGCAGCGACAAAGCAATTTGACGAATTTGACTTCTGCGTCTCAAGCTGGCAAGTCGACAGTAACTTCAACTACCCACATATTTTCCATCTGAGACACTTGGTTTGGATCAAAAATCACAACCTCTTGGCCATCTCCAGGATCGAACTGGATAGAATCATAGCCCTGCTGTTTCAGTTCGCCCTGCGCAGCAGCTCTCCAGGGCCCAAAAAAGAATGACCAAAGAATCCAAATGCGGAAAAAAACCTTTCAAACCGGAAATACTGGAACTGACCTGCCATGCTCTGCACATTCCTAGAATCTCATCAAAAAGGCCCCGACCGGTTCCCATTTGTGGCCACATTTTGGTCCTTCATATTTCACGCGGCCGACCTCCACCTTTGCCTGGCCCCACGAGAACCGACAATACATGTGTCACAAAATGGCAATAGATGGCTCGTTTTTAAGCCTTTGAAAATAGCGGTGCGATTCGCGCGGGATCATTCATGTAACCTGCAGCAAGCTACTCTAGATAGAATCTGATGCCTTGGCCACTATGGATCACCACAGCCCGCAGTACATGTTTCGGTTCCCTGTGCCGCAAAAAACCGTCAAAAAAGATATGGGTCGTACGAGTATGTCATTGACATTGATAACCTCCACAATTATGGTGTCCCTCATTTTCACCAACACAATTCACATTATTCGGAATATCCATCGTTCCCGTGAAAACACAAACTTCCTACCTGACACTAAATTCGAATCTCCGAGCTAGTTTCACACTCTCTGATGACACGAAGCGACCGCATTAGATCACTACGGAACTGTTTCAATAAGGCATGTGTGCTCGCGAAGACCACCTCGACACACCAGTTGCATGCAATCCGTGGGCTGCAAGTGGAGTCAACGATGACGGCTGCTTTTAAAACTGCCCCTTTCGCAGTTGTGAACTCAGGAAAATCAAAACAACAGAAAGGACCGCAGATGAATGCGCAAACTATTTTGGATCTTTGAGTCCTTTATCTGCAAGTGCTCAGCAGAGATCCCCACCTGAATGACACAGCCGCTCTGGGACTGTGTGCCAATCGCCTTCGTTTTTGTGGCCTGCAACAGCACCAGATCATGCTACGATTATACAACGCAAGTGAGGTGCACAGTGGCTTTGGTCATGTTGAATGATTCAGCTGTAGATCTGGGGGGTCTGATACAGCATCTGACACCTTAGACATGTTTGGAAATCCGGACAAATTTTGTCGTTGCGTCACTGCTATGCCTCCGGAGACATGGCAAAGTAAATGGCCCCACCACAGTGGCCATCCGATCCGGGTCGGAAGCTAGATGCCAGGATGGCCCTGAGCTGGGAGCTGACAGGTTTGGTGCACCAAAAATTCATGCCAAATCACTCGAACCTAATTCAAACACGCATTTCTTTAACATCAAAAATAACTTCAGTCCGAAAAGCTTGCACGCTTGCGGACTGGTTTGATGGTAAACTGTAGCAATCCCGTTCTGTGGCGGCGAAGGTGCCCACTGCGGGTTTGGCGGTGGAGGCGGTGGCTTGGTTCGCCGTCGGCGGCGCCGCCGGTCATCTGCTGGAGGGGATGGGCCCAGCCACCAACATCTGGTGCCAAAGTCTCCACAACAATTCCTTAGAAACAAAAATCAAAAGAGATCAAAGAGCATGTTGTCTCAGAAAGGCCCTTGGAAAATTTAGACGTGGTGTTCATCTTTTGCGGAAGCATAGACTGATCGGTTTTCTTCGTCACTTTGTGAGAAGAGGCCAAGTAGCCATGTTGCAACAAGCCGGCAACTGCTGACTTCGATCCCCGAGCAAGCAATGTGACAAAACTATGGTTCAGGGGACGGTGATTTGATAGAGCCAAACTCCAACAACTATGCACGTGGCGGAAGTGAGCGGCCGTTCTTGCATCGTGTTACACTCAAATTATGCAGCCAAGCAACCCGTACCGTCTGCATCCTGGGTTGCACTGGCAACGGAACTCTGGATGGTAACTCCTTTCCGCGCACAAAGTCAGCTCAAAAAGAGAAACCGCAAGGGTCAAAACGCGCACAGCTAATTCACGGCCGTAGGCATCCATGTTGCGAAACATCAAAAAACAATTCGGTTTTGCTGTGAACAGGTCCTGCCTGCGGCAACCATAGTACCAGCAGCCGACCCAACCATTTGCTGATTTCAACGAAGCGTTGATGCTTGTGTCTGCATGGCTGACATTGCCAACGCTGACATTCAAAGGTTTCTCCATTTCTTTGGCTCCAGCAGCCGACACCGCCGCTTCAGGCGGTAAAGTGCTGTTGGATGTGTTGGTCTGGCGGCTGCCTGAAGACTTTCCAGCTCAGAGAAATCAGGGATATACCAGATAGTGTTTGGCCGCGTCGGGGCGGAAGTTTCAAAAAGCAATGATTATATATAAGGAACCAATAGCACATAGGAATGTCTGATCTGTGCAATGCAGAAACATGCATCAATGAATGGGCACATGGTTGTTGAGATGCCAAGAAGTCACATGACATCAACGACATGAATGAACAAAATAAACTAGACGACGGATGGCCCGAGACCTTGGAGGAGCAGGGTCTTCTGTTGTTAGTATTGAGACACTATATTACAAGACAATTTATTAAAGATCTATTATAGGCAGACGAGAAGAGTAGTATCAAGACAATATTTTACAAGTACAAGACAATAGTTTGCACCGTATCCTTGGTATAGTTTTTCACACACAGAACCTTTTACACACAGACACTTTTACACACAGACGCTTTTACACACAAACATTTTCATACACAGAGGCTTTTACACACAGAAGCTTTTACACACAGACACTTTTACACACAGACGCTTTTACACACAAACACTTTCATACACAGAGACTTTTACACACAGAAGCTTTTACACACAGACACTTTTACACACAGACGCTTTACACACAAACGCTTTTACACATAAACACTTTCACACACAGAGACTTTTACACACAGAAGCTTTTACACACAGAAGCTTTTACACACAGACGCTTTTACACACAAACACTTTCATACACAGAATTTTACACACAGAAGCTTTTACACACAGACGCTTTTACACACAGACACTTTCATACACACTTTTACACACAACACTTTCACACACAGAAACTTTTACACACAGACGCTTTTACACACAAACACTTTCATACACAGAGACTTTTACACACAGAAGCTTTTACACACAGACACTTTTACACACAGACGCTTTTACACACAAACACTTTCATATACAGAGACTTTTACACACAGAAGCTTTTACACACAGACACTTTTACACACAGACGCTTTTACACACAAACACTTTCATACACAGAGACTTTTACACACAGAACTGCACACAGAACTTTTACACACAGACGCTTTTACACACAAACACTTTCATACACAGAGACTTTTACACACAGAAGCTTTTACACACAGACACTTTTACAGACACGAACACTTTCATACACAGAGACTTTTACACACAGAAGCTTTTACACACAGACACTTTTACACACAGACGCTTTTACACACAAACACTTTCATACACAGAGACTTTTACACACAGAAGCTTTTACACACAGACACTTTTACACACAGACGCTTTTACACACAAACACTTTCATACACAGAGACTTTTACACACAGAAGCTTTTACACACAGACACTTTTACACACAGACGCTTTTACACACAAACACACAAACACTTTCATACACAGAGACTTCTGCACACAGAAGCTTTTACACACAGACACTTTTACACACAGACGCTTTTACACACAAACACTTTCATACACAGAGAATTTTACACACAGACGCTTTTAAACACGACACTTTCATACACAGAGACTTTTACACACAGAAGCTTTTACACACAGACACTTTACACACAGACGCTTTTACACACAAACACTTTCATACACAGAGACTTTTACACACAGAAGCTTTTACACACAGACACTTTTACACACAGACGCTTTTACACACAAACACTGTTCATACACAGAGACTTTTACACACAGAAGCTTTTACACACAGACACTTTTACACACAGACGCTTTTACACACAAACACTTTCATACACAGAGACTTTTACACACAGAAGCTATTACACACAGACACTTTTACACACAAACACTTTCACACACAAACACTTTCATAAACAGAGACTTTTACACACAGACGCTTTTACACACAGACGCTTTTACACGCAAACACTTTCATACACAGAGAATTTTACACGCAGAACTTTTTGCACACAGACACTTTTACACACAGACGCTTTTACACACAAACACTTTCATACACAGAGACTTTTACACACAGAAGCTTTTACACACAGACACTTTCACACACAGGCACTTTTACACACAAACACTTTCATACACAGAGACTTTTTCACACAGAAGCTTTTACACACAGACACTTTTACACACAGACGCTTTTACACACAAACACTTTCATACACAGAGACTTTTACACACAGAAGCTTTCACGCACAGACACTTTTACAAACAGACGCTTTTACACACAAACACTTTCATACACAGAGACTTTTACACACAGAAGCTTTTACACACAGACACTTTTACACACAGACGCTTTACACACAAACGCCTTTACACATAAACACTTTCACACACAGAGACTTTTACACACAGAAGCTTTTACACACAGAAGCTTTTACACACAGACGCTTTTACACACAAACACTTTCATACACAGAGAATTTTACACACAGACGCTTTTAAACACAGACACTTTCATACACAGAGACTTTTACACACAGAAGCTTTTACACACAGACACTGATACACACAGACGCTTTTACACACAAACACTTTCATACACAGAGACTTTTACACACAGAAGCTTTTACACACAGACACTTTTACAGACAGACGCTTTTACACACAAAACACGTTTCATACACAGAGACTTTTACACACAGAAGCTTTTACACACAGACACTTTTACACACAGACGCTTTTACACACAAACACTTTCATACACAGAGACTTTTACACACAGAAGCTTTTACACACAGACACTTTTACACACAGACGCTTTTACACACAAACACTTTCATACACAGAGACTGTTACACACAGAAGCTTTTACACACAGACACTTTTACACACAGACGCTTTTACACACAAACACTTTCATACACAGAGACTTTTACACACAGAAGCTTTTACACACAGACACTTTTACACACAGACTCTTTTACACACAAACACTTTCATACACAGAGACTTTTACACACAGCTTTACACACAGCTTTTACACACAGACACACACAGCTTTACACACACTTTTAGGCTTTTACACAGACACTTTTACACACAGACACTTTTACACATACACAGCTTTTACACACAGACGCTTTTACACACAGACAGCTTTTTTTACACAGACACGCTTTTACACACAGAAGCTTGACACACAGAAGCTTTTACACCCAGACGCTTTTACACACAGACACTTTACACACAGACGCTTTTACTTTACACACAGACGCTTTTTTACACAGACGCTTTTACACACAGACGCTTTTACACACAGACGCTTTTACTACACAGAGGCTTTTACACACAGACGCTTTTACACACAAAACACTTTCATTACACAGAGACTTTTACACACAAGAAGCTTTTACACACAGACACTTTTACACACAGACGCTTTTACACACAAACACTTTTATACACAGAGACTTTTACACACAAACACTTTCATACACAGAGACTTTTACACACAGACGCTTTTACACACAGACACTTTTACACACAGACACTTTTACACACAGGCGCTTTTACACACAGAAGCTTTCATACACAGAGACTTTTACACACAGAAGCTTTTACACACAGACACTTTTACACACAGACGCTTTTACACACAAACACTTTCATACACAGAGACTTCTACACACAGAAGCTTTTACACACAGACGCTTTTACACACAAACACTTTCCTACACAGAGACTTTTACACACAGAAGCTTTTACACACAGACGCTTTTACACACAGACGCTTTTACACACAAACACTTTCATACACAGAGACTTTTACACACAGAAGCTTTTACACACAGACACTTTTACACACAGACGACTTTACACACAAACACTTTCATACACAGAGACTTTTACACACAGACGCTTTTACACACAGACACTTTTACACACAGACGCTTTTACACACAGACGCTTTTACACACAGACACAGACACTTTACACACAGACGCTTTTACACACAAACACTTTTACACACAGAAGCTTTTACACACAGACACTTTTACACACAGACGCTTTTACACACAGAGACTTTTACACACAGAAGCTTTTACACACAGACACTTTTACAGACTTTTACACACAAACACTTTCATACACAGAGACTTTTACAACGCTTTTACACACAGACACTTTTACACACAGACGCTTTTACACACAAACACTTTCATACACAGAGACTTTTACACACAGAAGCTTTTACACACAGACACTTTTACACACAGACGCTTTTACACACAAACACTTTCATACACAGAGACTTTTACACACAGAAGCTTTTACACACAGACACTTTTACACACAGACGCTTTTACACACAAACACTTTCATACACAGAGACTTTTACACACAGAAGCTTTTACACACAGACGCTTTTACACACAGACGCTTTTACACACAAACACTTTCATACACAGAGACTTTTACACACAGAAGCTTTTACACACAGACACTTTTACACACAGACGCTTTTACACACAAACACTTTCATACACAGAGACTTTTACACACAGAAGCTTTTACACACAGACGCTAATCATGACAATCGTCCGTAACTGGGAAGTTTCTAGACTTCCTTTGATAATATCATATCCATTTATCGCACCCTAACAGAAGTTGTGCTGCCATGTCCAGCCTGCAGATCGATTCACCTGCAAGAAGTCGGTGGAGCATCCATCGACAGAACACACGTCATCTCCTGGCAAAACGGGACAATGGAGCAGTTGGGGCAGAAAATTTTATCTGCTTTCTGATTTTGCCAAATGTCAACATGGTATGACAATGTGAACCTCTACACATCCCCCCAGTCCTGCCAAAACCTCTACTAAATCAGCCAGTGCATTCTGGCTGGATATCAAGTAGAGAAGCTGCCATGTCGCAAGTAGTTTGGACCCGAGCATGCTTACAGCACTGGGTCCGCAGCACTGTTGGCCAAGATTATTAAGGAGGCTGCGGCGCTTCGCACATATTTCTGGAGACACAGATGAAATCGTCTCAAGAATGCCAATTAATGCGCAGGGCTGTGAACGGAAAGCCCAAGGGGGAAGTGAGTGAGCTTTGCGTTTGAGGGGCAGGGGAAGACGTGTCAAAAACTCCCAAGGCTCTGTGTCTGAAGTGTCTTGGAATCATATGAAATTAACTATTGAGAATCCATTCCCAAGATCTCCCAGTTTCACGGGCAGCTTGGCACACAATTGCTTTTCTTCCCCGCAATAAATTTGTGAACATTGACTTCTTGGTTCTCACTTCTGCCTCCTCTCAATGTATAGATTCAGGATGGCCTGCGGCTCAGCGAATCCAGAGGAAATTGAAGATTGGGAAGCGAACCTGGAGACTTAAGAGAGGCAAAATGTCTCGAAAATTGGAAAAGTACTTTGGATGCGAGCAAGTATTCAAATCATCATCTTGCACAACGATGGTACTTAGACATCCTGAAAACGTATCCTGGGAATTTGCACAGTGGCCCTCCTATCCACCCTCAAGCAAAGATTCTTATTCATAGGTTTTGTGTGGACTTAAGAAAAGATCTATCGCAGCAAAGAGTACAGGGGAAACAAACATGGTACAAGATGGTATATGCTTGCACTGACTGTAAGAAAAGAACCAAACCTTGGCAGCTGAGTTACTTGAGTTCAAGTCTGTCGAAACGTTCGATATGTGCGTGTGTGTGTGTGTGCGCGTATGCTGCTACGAGCAATTTGCAGTGGTCACGCGAACGTGCCAGGCGCAAACGGAATCCCTTTTCACACGTCTGCATCTCTCGCGCCATGCATAACACGTAGTACCCTCCCCTCGTTAGCACTTGCTCCGGCACTGCAAAGTGCTCAACAGACCGAGAGAATCAACACGGATTTCCTTAAAAACCCGGTGTATCAACATTTAGTTACTACAGTACGTAGTTGCCTCAAAACCTCTGCAGCCTCTACAGAACACTTGGTCGATGGCTTGACGTTGAGTCTTCATCTTCCTTGTGCACTCTGCATGCCTCTGCAAATTCATCTAAAAAACTTAGCACAGCATGTGATTCAGCGGGAGTCCTTCTTCTGGCATCAGCTCCTGTGCGATTTGCTTTGGACCTTTGCTTCGGAATTTCAGAAAAATGCATCGTTTTTAGCTGCATCCGGTGCAGCTAGATTGCCTGGCACTCGTACCCTTCGGAAGCCTACCATCACAGAGTTCACAAATATCAGAGAGTCCAGTCCAAGTCTGAAACACAGCTTCACTGCTTATGCTTTTGTCAGATTTTGCTCACAGCTCCTCCCATGGCTTCCTCCTGCTCAACAAAGCAGCCGTTTCCACAGCAGTCACACTCGGCTCTGCTCGAAGGAGCTCTTGCACAGCCTCAAAACCACAACGACACCAAATCACTCCACGCCTCCCAAGAAACACGCCGTTTGAACCCGCGCGTGCTAAATGCGGAAGGTTCTTCAACCCACAGAAGTTTCTCCTCCTGAGACTATTTGAATCTGTGGGTGTTTGAATCAGAGTCGCGCTTCATATGATCAAAACACATACAAGTTTGTAACCACAACTCGTATCATTTGATGGGAATAGACAAAGGGAATCGCATTCTCCTCACCACAGTGACTCTCCGCCCTGATTTTGATGTAAGATGCATCTGCCAGTTGTGTGTTCACTTGCACGGTCTCCAGATCAGACCCAATCAGGCGTTTGGCGCATGCCTTCTGGAAGAACCTGCCACACCCCAGCAAGACCAAAAATATCTGAGAACTCATCACGAATCCGCGCAGCTTTTAGTCTGGCCAATGTTGCCCCTCTTTTCTCGGCAATGCCACACCAACATTTGCAGTCCAAACTATTCCGGCACGGGGGTCTATTCTGGTAGTTTCAGGTTGCAGCAACTTTGCTCCCAGTACGAATCACATCAAAGCAAAACAGAGGAGCCACCCATGTTCCTTCTTAAGTTTCAACGCAACATACATCAATACAATTAATACATCATACCTCGGCATACCACACCATCTGTGTCTCACTGCACTGGCGAACTGACCGTACTTATTGTGTATTTTCCCAAGCATCGCTTGTCCGCACCTGTTCCCAAGCTGCACAGGTTCGGTCATGAGCTGCCCCGTCTGAGCGCAACGGAGCCAACTGGGTGCCTTCATCTCAGCCATCAGCACTCGTTGGTGCCTGGAGGATTTGATTTTTTGACAGTTGCCCATATTCAAGTCAGATTGGGAAGTATTGGGAATAGACAGAGTTGCAGTCCCAAATTGAATATCGTCCAACATCTTTCAAAGGTCAAATGTCATCAGAGACTTTCAAGATCGACAAAGAGCATCCGTCGCCTGGCCTGGCTCTGCATTCTGCCATCAGGTGGGCGACCTATCCGAAAAAATCAGCCCGCACTGTGGGCGCCATGGATGCCCCAAGTGTGACATTGCACTTGGATACACCATGATACACCCATACAGTCCCACAAGACACTCAAACAAGCTTAAACAACCATGCCAGGGAATTGTCAATATATTCCAAGTGTTTTTTCCAATCATGCTTGGTGTTCCACACAGAGAAACAACTGGCTGCAGCAAATGTTTTGTTCAAATCATGGGCTTTCAAAGCAGAATCGGCTTGAAAAAACAAAGTGCTGTGGTGTTTCTTTTAAAGACCTGGACATCATGAGCCACTACAGATCACTGCAGGTTGATTTGGCCTTTGGCTCTATATAAAACCCTTGGCGCGCCTCAAGCTGTAGGTCAGGCACAGCTGTGGAAAAGGGCTCAACCTGCATTCGATCTTAGGAGAAACCTCTTCGAAGAAAACTAGCCTAACTTTCCAACGGGTATCCAACATGACTTCACATGACTTCGAGATAGCTGGAGAGGCAAGCGCCTCAGGGTGGACCGAAACAATGGCCATGAGCGACACACGCTCGCCATAATAAGACCTTACCATATGTGAAAACAACATGTCCTGCACCATGCTGCACCAAGTTTCAGCACAGCACGTCGCTATTACGTTGCTATTATGCTGCTAGGCTCCCCCCAAACTCTATCGATTTGTGTCAAGCTGCTCTAGAATCCATCGGTAGAGATTCAACTGAAGTGCATAGATTGCTCCCTTGCAATCTTGAAGGTGGTCAAATGGTGCTGACATTCCTTGAAAACGGGAATCCAGCAAAATGTTTGCTGATAGCTAGGCGAGCTCAATATCACCCTTTTCAATTCACCCTTTCCTGCGGAGACTGCAAATGACTGCAAATTACCCTTTAGCAGGCTGTTTTGAATTTATTGAATTCAAGAAACCTCCAGCGCCGATCCTTCGGCCAAGACCTTCAAAAGTCTCAGCTGTAGGCACAGAAGTTTGCACCTTTCGGCCGGTCGTCTTCTGCGACCTTCAATAGGTTGGTGACTCTGGCGCGGTCTGCTTTGTCAGCCTTGAAAGCCTTTCTGTCCCGGGAGCAGATGTCGCGGAGCTCATGCAGCGTGTAGTTCATGTTGGTGCGCACCACGTCACATATTTCATCGCACCTGTCCGCACTGTACACTTCTCTGCTGTGGCTCCCTTCAGAGGAGCTGCACATGGACTTGGTCCTCCAAGGCCGAGCATTTCTGCCCGCTGCCAACATTACAACACGGTCACGGTTTCTTTTTTCCCAAAAGCATCTTCGATGCTTGGGTTCTCGTCCACGTTGGTAGGGCGCGAGCTGAGTCGTGCGGACGGTGTCCGCCGGAAGTATGTGTGAGGATGGATGGAAATGGGTGGGGAGAAGGGCCCGGTGGGCATGAGCGAGCGTGGATGCGCGGACGTGTGCGGACGGTGTGGGCGCAAAGGAATGGGTGGAAATAGTTGGTTGGGGAGAAGGGAACCGTGGGCATAAGCAAATGGCGCAAGTGGTTGAAATGGGTGGGAAAAAGGGCCGGTGGGCATGAGCGAGCGTCAGGAGGTCAAATGGAATGTTGCTCCTGGTTCATGCCGGTATGGGGGTAGCCTGTAAACATCCCCCCCAACCAAGCATGCCCCAACCGGACAAAGAAATAGGATGCCCTTCATGTGCGCACTGTCAGTTTCTCAGATTCCAAGCAGAGCCATGACAATCGACGACGTAGCAAGGCATCAGATATGTGCTTTCAAACCCGACGGCAACCCTCATATCGGAGCGGGAAGAAACTTACGGAACAGTATGACATGGCCGTGACATGGCCACTTCATGCCTTCTTATCTTTCAAGTTCTTGCCCAAAGTGACCTTTGGCTGTAAACTCCGTCATCCCAGCTGCCAAGTGTCGATTAAACCGGCTTTGCAGCAGGGCTTTCCCTTTGCTCGTGCGTTTCCAATCTATCCTTAGGAAACATCAAGTCAGGAGTCAGGACATTCATTTCCAGGATGCCCGTGGGGGAAAGCCGATCCAGCAGGACATGTTGTGAACCAGGTCTACAATGTGGAAAACAAACAACAAACAGCAGCACCTAAGCAAAACGCTGTCCCCCCGACCATTTGAAACCTGCTGTGTTTCTGGGCAAAAAGGCATAAAAAGGCAGAACTGGTAGGAGACCGTTGGTCTGCCAAAACGGTCGCCGCGCCGACAGCGCGCTGAACGTGGGATGTCTTTCAAAACCGAGCTGCAGAGCTAACGTACCTTGAGGAAGTCGCAAGGCCAAATCGATTGATCCTTCAACATCAGCTAGCAACAGATAGCATAGTTTCGTTTCATGTCAATTCATGCAGTTTCTCTGGTTCTGCTTGTGCCTAGTCATACTTTGAATCATGTCGCTTATATTAAATGTAGTTTACTTGAATCTCACGCTACAATGATACCGTCCTGCCAAATCCTCGCGTTCCGCAAAAACGCGCCACTCCGTTCGATACGCCTTTCCATGTCTTCACAACTACAAGTGAACAAGTTATGCGGTTCTGTCTCAAAAGAAGACAAGTTTGTCATCTATTCGCAATCTCAATCTGGTATGCTGCTTCTGCGCAGAAACAAATCTGCATGGCATGATACCGAGGTATACCAAGCCTTGATGCCAGGATACAGCCCTGCCAGTATGCTTAAGAAGTGCAGCGCACATTGAACCTCTGGCTCCTGTTTTCAGGTGTCCAGTTGTGTCTGGTGTGCGATTGATCCTATCTCTATCTGTTTCTGCACGCTGATAACTTGTAAAACATCATGCTATCGTTCTTCTCTTTCAATGTTGAGCTCTCCTCAACTCTGCAATGATCGCGATTCAACCACAGCTCTATCTGATAATGGGCCTCCTGAGTTGTGGCACTGCAAACCAACCTTCAGCAACCTTCGTGCACTTCAAGTGTTGTGAGTCTCTCTGAGCCAGGCACAGTGCCACGATTCGCTGCATCAGTTTTCTTTTGCTCCCATAGCTGCAGGATTTCCTCATCGGTCATCTCTCGGACATAGCTGTAAACTTGACATCCTGGCGTCACCATTTGCGACCATCTAGAAGCATCACCATCCAGAAATATTCAATGAAAGACCCCACAATGTAGCCACAAAATATCTACAACCGTTCATTGGCCTGACAATGCCGCATTGTAGCGCCGGTGCAGTTCTTGGACCAAAGCCAAGTGCCACGACTGCAAATTGCCTGTGACACCGAAAAGCAAAACCATGGAGTCTGATTTGCAATTCTTTGCAGTTCCTCTGTCTATTGTGTTTGAAGAGTTTTCCGATGCATGAAATATGTTCGGTGTGCTGTGGTGTTTGCTATTCGCAACAAATCCCGATCGGCGATCACTAGAGGAAAGGAATCAAAAAGTACTGGTTCGACATGTGCCACCACTTCTGGCACCTTCTCGATGGAGCAGGGCCGCTACCTGGAATCAGATTTGCTGCCCTACAGCATTATGTGAAATGATACAAAAGACCCACTTTGCCAGAGTTTGATCTTGCTTCTTTCTAGATTCTAGACAACTCTACCAATTTCTCAAGAGACCCCAAATAGTTTGCAGTTAGGATTCTAAAGGGAAAGGTGGGAAGGACCCAAAATCATCAGTGGCTCCAAGCTAGTAGAACAAGAACGACCTTAGTAGTGAAAGCATGGTGGTGTTCATTCAAGGTGGTCTCTGGAAGAAGAGATACCAGGTTAGATTCTGCAAGTTCCCTGCGCGAAGATCTCTGTAGAAGATCGTGCGCAAGATCTCCATGACAGGTTCTCTGCAGAAGCTGCTGTGCAAGATCCCTTTGCAAGACTATCTGAACAACGTCTCTAAAATAGATCTCCACAGAAGATCTCTATAAGAGATCTCAAAATAAGATCTCTCTTCAAGCTCACTAAACAAGAGCTCTGCGCAAGAGCTCTGTTCTCTTCACCAGGCCTCTGCACAAGATCTCTATATTAAGAGGTCTCCGGGCAATATCTCTGTACAAGATCTCTATAAGAGCTCTGTTGGCAAGATCTCTGTAAGAGACCTCTTGGCAAGATCTCTGTACAGTTCTTTATACGAGGTCTCTTGGCCAGATATCTGTTCAAGCTCAGAATGCCTCTGTACAAGATCTCTATCAGAGGTCTCTTGGCATGCTCTCTGTACAAGCTCCCTATAAGAGGTTGGTAAGATCTGTTTCAGGGATCTCTGCAGAAGCTCTCTATGAGAGAAGATCTCTTGAGGAGATCTCTGTACAAGCTCTCTACAAGAGCTGGCAAGATCTCTGTAAGAGACCTCTTGGAAGATCTCTGTACAAGATCTCTAAAAGAGCTCTCTGCACTGTCAAGATCTCCGCGCAAGCTCTCTAGAAAAGACCTCCTTGTCAAGATCTATGCGCAAGATCTCCTTGACTATAAAAATGAGCTTCGCGCCACAAGGAGAGCGATCTGACATGCCTAAAGTGCCGAGAGGGTTACGCGAGCAATCTCAAAATTCGCACCGCGCCACAGCAAGAGCAATCCGACACGCCCAAAGTAAGGAGAGGGTGTTTGGGGAAAAAAAGCAAAGCCTCCTCTGGCTGCAAGCTCGCGTGCCCGTTCTCATCTTCGACTAAGAGACCAAAGCAGCCTGGCCTGCAGGAAAGCAGATTGATTCATCTGTCGAATGTTAGGTGGGAAACGTACAGCATTTGACAGAACGGTATCACTCCAACCTCAAGGACTGCACGTGCACTGGCACTGGGTTGATGGTGTACTTGAGCCGAGGCCATGCCTGTTCCAAGTGATTCAAATGATTGTGCTGCTTCACCTCCGTCTACATCAATTGGATGCAACTGGAATTGGGCTCCGACTCCAATACGTACAAAACATGGCAAAAAACTATAACCTAAAATAACCTAAAAATCTTTGACTTAACAATTACTGCGTGAAAGCGTGAAACATCACATCAAGATCATCAATATGATGCATTGCAAGTCACCGCAATTTACCGCCATTCCCTGTAATTTTCCATAATTTTCCCTTCCATCGGTACATCGGGGCCTTTCCGTTTCGCATTCTTCGCAAGACCTCTGCGGCATCGAAGTCCCGCGCCAGCCGCGATGCCACAAAGGTCACCGAGGCGCCAAAAGTGCGGACACCGGGACCCCCAGGACCCCCGGGACCACAATCGTGCAACGACCCGTGCAACAGCAGGTAGCTGTGGGACGCATCGTCAAAGTCCAAGACTCAGTGAGACTCGTCAACAAATGTCAACAAAACACTTCGACTTCATCTCACTTTGTACTTCGACAGTGTAACTCTGGCTTGTACATGGAGGAATTTTACAGACAATTTAATCTGGTCAAGTTGTAACATGCTTCATCACAAGGAGTCAAATAGCAATTCGCACTTTCTGGAAAATCAGCTAGTGCTGAAATGACACCAAGCAGCATTGATCGCGTTTGTGTGGGTTGCGGATTTCCAAGTACCTGCCCGAAATCAAGCAAATCAGCTATGGGATCAGGTTGCTGTGCGTAATCTCGGCAGTTGGCAGCTGCGCACATGCCATGCATGCCATGCAGCTTATTTTGGTGCCAAGCACGTGGTCAGTCTCTTGTGCGTCGGAGATATTGCATATGTTGCTCCACCGGCTAGAACTGTTGAGCGCAGAAGGAGAAAGTAGAAAAAGTCATCAAGTCTTGCTGCAATACGCACATCACTTGACAATTGACTTGTGGCTCCAGTGGCTAATCCCATCTTTTGATTTTTGACTGTGAGATTGTCTTGCCTTCATGCCATGTGGAACAAAGCAAAGCCTAACTACTTGCCCGCCGTTGATAGATCTACGGACGTGCTCTAATTACAGCATTTCCCTGAAATTCCCCAAGGGAAATCTACTGTGTCACTGTACCTCTGGTCTAGTCATCTCTCAGGTGCAGGCATTGCAAAATATGAAGCAGAAACCTTTGAGACTTGCGGTAAATCAAGATCATCTAGAAACCTCTGTGCATTGTGTGGCCAGCTACTCAGGATTGTTGCCCTCATGTTCAAGGCTTCTATGAATGAAACTTGCCTGCAAAGCCCCCACGGTTCCAACGACCAGCAGTGACACATTTAAAGTGCATCACGCCGCCGTTGGCTTTTTTCCGGTCACTGGATCAGTTCCGAGCTCACGCCGAAAGAGCAAGATGTGTGGCTCTGGACGGTGGAACTCATAGTGAACCCATCCACGACTTTGCTGCACTCCCACACCACGCCACTCGTCTTCCCCCAGCAAACGCTTCATGCTATCGGTCAACTTCCACACTTCCTTTGCCGCAGTTCTGTTCAGGATAACGTGACGGTACTCATACCGGTCATCCTGGTACTTCTCGGAATACTCGATTTCATCCGGATAGTGAACCATCTTCGGCCAAAAGGTGAGGAGAGCAACGAACAGGTCAGGCAAAAACAATGGAGTGCAAAGCCAAAAAGCGCTGCAGATTCTCAGAAATGGATCAAGGTCACTTGCTTGCGATTTAGTCACATGCCAGCAGCTTCTGAATTTCTCTGAACTGGTTGGACGATTCAGAGATAAAGGACTTCTGATAAATGCTCAGTTGTTTGAGTTTTCAGAGTTTTTTGGAAACCTGCCTGGGACTGTAGCTATTCACTTTGTATAGCTTGCCGAAGTCAGTGGGCGCCATCTGCTTTGGATTAGGCGTCCAATTCAGGTACCTGGACCAAGGAATGCCCCTGATCTGTGGACTTGATTGTGAGTGGTCATTGACATTGAAACTTGGTTAGGATTCCAAGCACACAAATCTATACATCCCTGCGAGGTGCACTCTGCAAGTGGATGACAAAGACCTTAACCTGGCATCCTTTGGTTCAAAGAGTTTAAAGGATGGTCTGCGGTCTGCATGATTTTTTCAGGCAACGGCAATCCTGTGCAAAGACTTCCCAAGTGGGCACAAATCCAGAACCTGGCAAGCACCTTGCAAATGAGCTGGCACTGCTGCAATGCCTCACCAGACACAACCCAACAGTGGGATCTCCAAATGAGGGAACCTAGAATGTGACTTGCCTTCAGTCTGGTAACTTGGAGTCCTGGTTCGGTCAAGGCTCCTTGTGTCTGGTCCATTCCATTCGCACAGATGCGGCCTTCACAGACATTTCGTGCAGCTGTGGGTATGTCACGCAGCGGATCCTGGGCAGAACGGCTGTCAATATCCCTGAAAGTTTGACAACGCTAGAAGAAGAGGAGGTTTCAGCATTTTTCAATATGTTTCATCTTCCAAACTGTACGGTTCCAGATTCTCTTGAGCTCATTTGCCTGGTCCGCTGGCTTGCCAATGTTCTGAACCTCGGAAACAGCAGTTGCAGATTGAACAACTGCCTAAGCAATTGCCCCATGTTTTTCTATCTTCCCAACAGCTAAACTTGAAATTTTGGACGCTGTGGAAACATAGGACCTAGAGGAAGCGTCAACTCTGCCGGAGATGCAGTTGATGAAGTCGATATAATTTGGGTGATGCAAAAAGACCTCCAGAGCTTCTGGCATCCGCAATCCATTCGCAAAGCTAGGCATCCAAACGTGGCCAAACAACTGTGCCACTTTTACCATCTGCGCATGGAAATCTGGCAGGCTCAGCAGTCAGCAGTTTGTTCTCAGGCTAAATTTGGCTAGATTGGCTAGATCAATGGATGGGATATGATGGGATCTTGAGTAAACTGAGTAAACAAAGTGTCCAGTTCATCCATGAGCTTCGTCAACTTGGGGTTTTGTGAGCCCAGGAGTACTCTGAACTGTCTGACTATTCTGACTTTGTAGGGAAAAAGTGTTTACATGTGCCTCGCAAAACCATGACACTTCCTATCCCAATTTCTAAGCTGCACATGCTTGCGAGCAGCATTTGACAGTCTACATAAGTCTACATAATTGCTTTGGATTGCTTTGGTACAGTATGTAATTCACAGTTCTTCACAGTTCCATACCAGAAACGGAAACAGCACAAGAAATTCAGACCACGTCGCCTAGCGTGGTTTCTTGCTCCACCTGGCCACTGTGCAACGGCACGAAACAGCAGGAAACAGAAGGCAGCAAGATGCAACAGCTGTCAACAGCTGTCAAGCCTGTCTCCTCATTGAAGTTGAACATAAAGTAGAGTGTGCCATCCAGCGCTTGGAGGCTTAGAGGCACTTTGATCGTTTTTTAAATACATGCATATTTTTTTGCGCAGTCTTTGTGCAAGCCCTGGCGAGCTCAGCTTGTTTTGGCTAGTTGGCAAATGCTGGTGATTTTTGAAGTGGGTAGTGGATTTCAATCTGGCAGGTAACAGTGGTAACATGTGTTGTAAATGCTGATGCTGCTTTCGAGTGGCTCCACAACCACCGCCTGCCTGCCTGATTTGATCCGAAAAGCGGAGAGTGACAAAGTCCATCCTTCGACATCGCAGGGCATTCACCATCGCACTTTTTTCTCGGTCAGAGCTCTGGTAGAGACAGGCACTTCTCGAAGATCTCCTGAGAATCTCGGAAGCGCTGCTTGGGATGTGGTGTTGCGAACTCTTAGATTATGTTAGATTCATGGATTGAACAGTTGAGAGATGTTAAGAATGTGTGCTTTTCCATGACTGGCCAAAGCAAACAGCCGTGAAGTGGTGTTTGAATTGAAGTACACACCTAAATGCTCATGTAGCCGAATCAATGCTTGTATTTACACTTGGAAGCTGTATATGTAGCAGGCTTGCGATACAACCAAGCACTCTGGCACAGACTCAAAAAATAATGAGAATGAGGTACGCTTGTTGTCACAGTGAAAAAAACATCGGTTCGATTTCGGTGAGCATTGACACCATTGTACTCTTTTTTCAGACATCAACATAGATCAACTATGAAATCTATGACAATGAGGACTCCTCGAAGTACCTTGGGCTAGAGAAGACCAGCTCCTCGAAGTAAGTGGGGCTGGTAGGTCCACCAACTGCCTCTGCACAAAGATCTGCACCGCCGCAGCGGATCCTTGGGCGTGGCCCGGCATAGCTTGACTTTTCTGTGACTTTGACCTCACAAACTTCGCATCTGATGCCATCACACTTCACATCTCTTCACATCTCTTCACATCTCATCACCAGATCTTGTCAAATCTGATCAGATCTTATCAGACATCCCGTCCCATCCCATCGGTTTGTCACTGGGCTTCATCAGATTTCATCTCACTTGGTCTCCAAGACACTCAAACTGCGGCACACCACTTCGTAGGCTTGGTCGCACCTCTTGAGTTCGTTCCCAATTCCGTGCCTCCTCAAGTCGATTTCACACTTGCCAAGGCATGAACAGCCGTTGGTCTTCTGAACAAGACTTGTTGCCGCCACACTAAAGTTGTCGCAGGTGAACAAGCAAATGCACATCCAAAATAGCCTCGGTGCTTTAACATGTTCACCATGTTCTATTTTTCCAATGAGTTCTGTACTGTGAATCTAGTGTCACTCGCAGACATGACCTGACGTGGTCTATCCGATTGACTCGTTTTTTTCTTGGTTCCCTTAGGGTCTCAGGAAAAAAATTTGTCAGTGGTTGTACAAGTTGCAAAAGTGGTTGATACGTGTACTTGTATGATGCGCATGTTTTTGTGCGATCAAGTTGGAGATGCCCTTGGTGCGAAGGTGGCTTGCGTTCGCAGGTTTCAAGGCACTTTGACTCGAAAGGACATGTAGAAAGAGCTGCAAACATCTGCACACAAAATCCAACAAATGTCACTGATGCTGGATTTCTGTTTTTGAAATTTTGGATGGAAAAATCATTGTTTTGGATGCTTTTTGATGGTCCCAGGTGTCGACCGGGACGCCTTCTCGGGATCCTTCAGGGCCTCCAATAGCTCGTCTGGAGCCACGTTGAGCGCCTCAACGCCACGCAGCGCTCAGTTTTTGATAATGCCATGTCTATGCGTGATCATACACATGTCATGTAATTAACTATACCTATGTAACATATATATCTTAATGTATCTTCTATTATACATATATATATAATATATTTGATGATATATATATATAATACATATTATCTCTCTTGAGTCAAAGGATCAAAAGATCATCCAAACAAAAACAGCAAACGACCATGGCCTCCAAGCGCGATGCCAACGCCTTGGTATCGTTGGGATCTTCCAGCTGCTCGAAGTGCGCTGCCAGCGTCAACTCAGCGAAGCGCTCCGCCACATGGTGCCGTTGCGCCACCAGCAGCGCCGTGTTGACGTCCACCTTCAAACTGTCGGAGCTGGGCAAAGCCCTGAATCCAATGTAAATACATGTAAATATTCTGATATGAATATCATGTGATATCTGATATCTGTAAATCGAGGCCATTGGTTCAGATCTGAAAGTTGATAATCTGATATCAGAACACAAAAAGAACCTTTGTATAACACGACCTCCGTAACCTCCCAACCTTCCATGTGGCAAAAAGATCTTCATGGCATGGAAGGACCATGGCAGCAATGGCATCTCTAAGCATCCAGCTGTGTGCACAATCCGTCGATCAAGGCGAAACTCAATGCCCAACTCTTTGCCAATGGCAAAGGCGCGGGGCAGCTTCTCCTCCAGAAGGAACTTGGCCTCGTAGCCAATCACTTTTGGAGGACAGTAGAAGGACAGTAGCCAATGGTTTCCTCAGTTTCCTCTATATCTATAAATCATAAAAATTAACGAAAATGAATGAAAATAATATCTTTGAAACATTTTGAAACCATGAGTCAAACCGCTCTAAGATCGGGCGAAATCATGGTGAATTTCTACGACATCTACAGTGTACTACAATCCCAAATCACAAATGAAGTTCCCGCCTTCGCAGGACCAAAGCTATTGCAGTACTCAACCCAATCAGTGCCTTCCTTGGATGGTGACAGCAGTCTAGACAAGCAGTCTTCTTGGGATCTCAGAACAAGCCAGAGATCATGATCGCAGGGCTTCACTTGATTACAAGCCATTGTATATAAGAATATATCAGCATATATAAGTCATATAAGCATTATAAGCCCGCGGCTTCGAACCCATCAACAAATTGGTCTTCGCATGAGATATCTTGACAGCGTTGATGTGCCAGGCATCTGATGGGTATTTTCCCGGTGCATCGTATTCAAATGGGACAAACTCCACAGCAAAATTCAGTTGGCTGGCAAAACGTTCTCTGGCCAGCTGCATTGAACGAAGGCCAATGAAGGACCACGGGCACATAAAATCCAAGATTACTTTGATCTCGACCAAGGCCATGGCGATCCCTAGGAAAATTTTGGCGATGCGATTGCCTTATGGCTCAAAGTAGCTTGAAGCAATATCTGCGGTTCAATCCTGTTTGACATGGGAGGGTATATGGCATTTCAGCAACCTGCACTACTAAACGGACATCCTGAGCAACAACAAATCAGCTTCGCATCGGAAGCTAAGGGCCTCTACCAAGTCAGCCTTTTCCAGGCAAGCCATACAAAGATGAGGTGGAATCTTCAGCTCGTTTGCCTTGCAGATTTGACTCTGACTGAGCCCATTTCTGAAACTCTCAGCCTCAGCATCGCTCAGCATCTCTCAGCATCTCTCAGCTCTCTGGCCTTTTCTCGTAGTTCTTTGACACTCATCGCCAGAAGCTTCTTGCGGCATAGCGCGGCACGGCAACTTCAACAAAATTTGATTCGTTCTCGCGGGTTTTCTCCATGCTTAGCAAATGTCCACTTTGGAGATGACACAACTGATACAACTGATACAAGTGACACAACTGATACAACTGATACAAACGCCAAACGTCAAACTGACAAACCAACTCCTTGCGCATCGGCTCTGATGAAGTCTCGGAACCTGCCATGGCATGGTACTGTGCTTATTTCATGGCATAAGAAGACTTCAGAGAGATGTTCAGCATTTCCAGAAAACAACAAGTTCCACAAGATCCACAAGTTTCACAAGTTCCATTCCAACCAGTTGAAGATCTGCCTGGTTCCATGGACGAACAACGTCGAAGGCGTTTTGGCTGTGGACCACCTGGAGGCACATTTTGGAGGCCAAATTTGGAATTTCGCTTGTGATCGCTTGTGGATCTTGTGGAAAATACACAGTCAAAAAAGTGTGGCTTTCTGAAAACAAAATGCCCGCAAGTGGCTGTCACGAGTTGACGTTGTAGGCAGATCCTTCCGCTTTGCACCTTCTCAGACACAGGTCTCACAGATTACAGATTGCGACAAAGGTAGCGCATGTAAGAGCATGAACAAAGCTCTTTTGCCAGTGCCCGTCCATTCTCCGTATGAGTCTGGTGATTCCGGTTTTTAGCATCAAAAAATTGTCCTTTATGACCTGGGCATTGGGGAGGAACTTGACATTGCAAATCCAATAAGAACTGGCTCGCTCTTCCGCGTATGAGTTCCACAAGAATCCTTCGGAGGTGTTGGCAGTGACATTGGGCCCCCAGAAAATAGAAGTTGCACAACCAAAAGCAGACTGACGTGCTTCCAGGTGGAAGGCAAAAGCGCTTCAGACCCATAAAGTGGTATTCTCATATTATCAGACGCATTCTGACGATTTGGACCCCCAAACCACTCTAATGGGATGTTGGTTGGGCCCAAGCCCAATCGCTCAGGGCGCCTGCCGACGGCGTTGGAACTTCAGAGTGCTTGGGCGGAGCACGTGCACTAGCTGCAGCTGGAGCACCTTCAGCACAGCGTTGATGAAACTACAAAATCAATGGATGTTACCTCTACAGCCTGTATACAGCCTGCACATTTTTTCTAGTTTGACACTTGGTTTCACAATGTTTCAACAGTGCGAACCTGCGCACCTGACAAGTCAGAGGGGGTATAGGCTGGAGAACTGGGTGGACTGGGGCGTGAAGATGTTGCGGCTTCTGGTTCCTTTCTTCGGCCTGGCTGCAGGTAGTTCCTGTTTGAAACAAACTCAATGGCCACGACACCTAACGAAAAATCACCCCATCGAGACCTCTCCGAAAAGTGGAACACATCTTTCCAGATCAGATCTGCAAATCTCCATGAAATCACCATGAAATCATATGAAATCCTCCCGCTCTGACCGCTTTGCCTTCCTCGATCAAAGCCAACTGTTCTCGTTGAAAAATTTCGACGGTTTGCAGCTGAGAGGTGGCTGCCTGGCTCTGAGCACAGCCAGAGACATCAAAGCCATGGCAGCCATGGCCGATCTCATAATATAGTAAATACACATGGGGAAAAAACTTATATACAGAAAGTATTGTGTTGTATTGTATTATATTATATTAAATTATATCATATTGAATCATATGATAATACATTATATTATATTGTGGTTTATTATTTTGTAGTGTATTATGTTATACTATATCATATTATATTATATAATATTGAAGTATATCATGTGATAAAAATATTATATCATATTATAGTACATAATATTGCATTACGTTACATTATATCATATCATATCATATCATATCATATATTATATATATATATCCATTATGTATATATATACATGTGTGTATACATAATGTATGTATATATACACATAATATATAATATATCATATATAATATATAGTTATTTATAGTCTATCATATATATGATATATAATATATTATAATATATACTTATTAAATATTATATATTATGTATTAAATATTATATATTATATATTGTATATGAAATATGATATATGATATTTTATAGTTGATATATGATATATGGTATATGATATATAAATAATATGTAATATATGATATATAATATATGACATTTATATAAAATATCATATATATATATATTACATCAGATTGTATATCGTATATCACATATTATATATCATATATATAATATAATTTAATATAATATAACATGGTTTATATCATATATATATGTATATTGTAATATATATATATATATGTGTAATATATATACTGTCAGTGCCGGAATTATAGAACGGAAGTTGAGGAGTACGAAGGTACGGTTATTTACCGTACCCTGTTGTTCTATAATTCTGTTTTCCTCGGAAGGTGTGAAAAAAAAGTATCTGAATTTACGCCTAACTTTTTTCGTCGTTCTATAATTCTTGTCGGAGCGCTGCTGTTCTATAATTATGTTTTCCCCCATTTTTCTCCGATTTCCCATTTTCGTTCTATAATTAATGTTTCCCGGGCCCCGTTCTATAATTAATGTTTCCCGGGCCCCGTTCTATAATTAATGTTTCCCGGGCCCCGTTCTATAATTCTTGTCGGAGCGCTGCTGTTCTATAATTCTGTTTTCCCCCATTTTTCTCACATTTCCCAGTTTCGTTCTATAATTCCTGTCGGAGCGCTGCTGTTCTATAATTCTGTTTTCCCCCATTTTTCTCACATTTCCCATTTTCGTTCTATAATTAATGTTTCCCAGGCCCCGTTCTATAATTAAATTTCCCGACTCCGCGCGGAATCGAAACCCGGAGGAGTACAAAGGTACGGTATTTTACTGTACTTTTGTACTCCTGGCTCCGTTCTATAATTCTGGCACCCGCTGTATATATATATGTGTGTGTAATATATATAATATAATATATATATATATGTAATGTATATATATATATAGTAATAAATATATATTGTAATATATATATATATTGTAATATATATATATATTGTAATATATATATATATTGTAATATATATATATTGTAATATATATATATATTGTAATATATATATATATATATTGTAATATATATATATATATTGTAATATATATATTGTAATATATATATATATTGTAATATATATATATTGTAATATATAAATATTGTAATATATATATATATATATATTAATATTGTAATATATATATATATATAATTATATTGTAATATATATATATATATTGTAATATATATATATTGTAATATATATATATATTAATATTTGTAAAATATATATATATACATAACAGTAACAGCTTTGAAAACGTCTGCGTTATGCGCGTACAATTTACCACGAGTATTGCCTGCCTACCCTGTCGGGGTTCTGACTACACGGCTTTATAGACCAACAATGGACCGCACACACTTCAGCGGCCGGATTGGTTTGTGAAACGCTCACATGACGGGCTCATTCAACCAAAACGCAAGCTCAAAAATAGTCAAAAATGATTATAGCTTTTGCTATTAGCACCTTTTCCTTCGAGACACGCTAACTGCCCTGGGCATCCGTGGGCTATACCTACACTCTCTCCTGTCCCGCCTGCCTTTACGTTCTTTAGCAATGTCGAGAGAAGACCTGTACCGGCCTGGCATCTGAAGAGCGTGGAATCAAAGACCATTCAACTTGAAAAGCTGCCAAATGATTCATTGCCTCAGTTGTACTCAACAAAGTATTTAAAGGCGATTAAAAAACTATGAAAAGGTAATTATACTTAGATTTCCGAAGTTGTCCCTTTGCCCCGCACCTCAACCACAATTCCAACAGGAGCGCATGGGCCTTTGCCCAGGTACTCCTGTTGCCATGTTGCTGCCCAGAGCAACTGATGCTGCTAAAAGGAAAGGCAACAAGACTGAAGCAGTGACAGGAACAGCTAGGTTTGGTACAAGACGTGTTTTTGCCTTGAATCAAAGATCAAATGACTTGAACTGAAACTTGGCCCTCCCCCTTGTTCCCAGCTACTGAGCCATGGTGGTCTTGACTCTATATAAACGTCGTCACTCGCAACAGGACAAGTTGGACAAGGGTGCGTCCTGCAACTCTTTTGCAATCTCATTGCTCATCTCAGGCCGCATAGCTGCCTCTTTGCCATGCACACAAGGCCGTGGATAGAAACACTTGGATACACCTGGGATCACCTGGGTATTTACACAGACCAACTGTGACCAAAGGTGACGTCATTCTCCAACTCAAAGGCCTCCAGTCTCTTCAAATCGTCTTCTGGTACGTGAAAATGGTACTCCAAGGCGCACCTCGTTGGAAAGCGGATCTTGTCACCTTTTCGATTCCGGCTGGACAGATGCATGGAAATACGCTGCCATACAAATCAATGGTTGAGGTATGTGGGACAGGCTGGTGCAGGTGCAGGTCTGGCAATTTCTCTAAGCTCCTAACATGAAGCAATCGACCAGCTTGTTGCGATATGACTCATAAAAGCCCTGGCAGATCAGGCACCCTCTGGACGACTGAACATCTAAATTGAAAGTGATGTGCCAACACCCTACAGTCCTCTGCCCCTAGATTGCTCGCTGTGAAAGGCAGCTACAGCGATTACATGTAATCATATACCATATACATCACCTGATTACCTTTACACATTCATGCAACCTGCAGTGACTATATAATCAGCTCTCAGAGACCCGAACCAAGGTCACACCCGGTGGCTGAGAGACTATACCTGAGCCTGAGACACGCTTTTTTCAGGTCGGACCGTCGGACTTCCAAAAGCCCCAACACGCTCCAGGGCACTCTGCGTAGGGCTTCTCACAGGCTCTGCAGCGACGCACTGAACAACTTGGAACTTCTCTGGTCGCTTCACTTTGTTTGTTCGGAAGAACTGCAACTTCATCGGTTTGTTCGGTTTGTTCGGTTTGTGTCCGGAGCTTTTGCAGCTGACTTTGCACCTGAAGAAGTTTCTTCCTCAAGGTAGTTCTTCGGTTCTTTGACCCTCCAACTTCTTGCTCCAGCAATTCTCGAAGGCGTGTTGCTTGACTCTGCAAGTCTACTTCTGAGAAGCGATCAAGAAAATGGAAATACGAATTTCTGAATTTTGAATGCTCGGGACACCAATATTCTCCATGCTCACTAGAGGCATCACATACGTCACACACCAGAACCAGGGCCCGACAAACTGTACAAACACGGCCTCCGTGGTGTGTGTCCCATGGTGCAGAGCACTCCCCGCAGCGTCCCACAACACTTCCGTCGCCTCGCATCTGAGCCCGTTTGTCAAAGACAAAATTGGCACCTTTGAAGTGACCTCCATCAGGAAACGCCTCAAGGTATCTGTGAATACCTCCCTCGAGCTGATAGACCGGAGTGTCACTTTCACAATCCAACTCTCTCAAGCGCCGACGGAGAAAGGCAGATGCCTTCTCACACCTGATGCCACCTGTGCAGTACAGCATCACATTTCTGCCCTGAAGTTGTTGAATGTTGTTCTTTACAAAACGCGGCCATTGAGCAGTGTGGGTCATACCCGGGTCAATAGCACCAACATAGTGCCCAACATCGTACTCAAAGGTGTTGCATACATCGATGAGTTTGAAATCTTTGGGATCTCCATCGATGAGTTTGGCATGGAACTCCTGTGGTGACAGTCTGATTCCAGCCTCTGCTGTCACGTCCAACCGCTCTTGGAGTCCAAAACCCACCAGTTCCGGAACCTCCTTCACAACAAAATCCGGGAAGATGGGCTCAACGCCTTCGGCTTTGCTACTCTTCCAGTCAATTTTTCTTGAAAAAACCTTCTGCACCGATGCTTCGTAGACGGAGATGGCATCTGCGGTCCCTTGGACTGTGCCATTGATCCCTTCTGGAGCCACCAGCACTCGGCCAAAGAGGCCAAGTTCAGAACCCAAAGAACGTTGCTGGGCAGCGAGAGAAGTTGCACACGGCAAGTCTTGATAGCAGTAGAATAAAATCACACAGCTCCTCTCAGTACTCTCAGTACTCTCACGTTCTGTCTCCATGGCAACGGGCCAAACACTATGCAAGTGAAAGTTAAATCGCGCTTCGAACCAAACAGCCCATGTAGCGTTTCCTTGCACACTGAGCCAGATAGTGTGTCACCACAGCATGCAGTACGAGTACGCATGCAGTACGAGTACTGTTTGAATCTGTTTGATATCAACATATCAACATCTCTGACGCGACATGACGCGATATTCATCCCTTTTCCAAACCCATCACCTTCTGCTGGAGTTTCTCTACCTGAGCCAAACGTACAAAGACTGTTAAAGCACAGACAAGAAAAGAATAAACACGGTTCAACATAAACCAAACACGTCTCAAAATGTGCTTGGATGAAACCGGAACCTGGGAAATGCCGCATGAAAACTCACTGCCTGGGTCCTCCACTCACTTTTTTGAATATCTGTTCACTGTCTGTTCACCATGTCACCATTTTCTGGGATGTCATGGCATCATGGGCTGGGCAGGAGTCTAGTCTTTATCTACCCCATGTCACGACATGAAGTCACTCCAAGTGACTCACCAAGCACAACAAGCTTGGAAGCAAGGGGAAAGCAAGTAAAATATGTATGTGTATATAATAATATATATATATATGTAATTAAAGAGTGAGTCAAAAGGACGTGAGTAGGAATGCCAAGAAAATGTGAAGATTCTGCCGTGTTTCACGACCACGTCAGGCCAAATGCCACCAAGATTCGGTGGCGCGCAGCCGCTTCACCATGCCATCTTCCACCGCCGAAGATACGACCGCAGCCAGCGCAGCGCGGTTCATGCGAAGGTTCAGCTGAGCACCTCAAAGGTCTTAGAAATCTTAGAAGTCTTAGACGATTTCCTCAATGTACTTGGAGGGTTCGATGCTTCCCTCGAGAGTTTGGGAGTCTATATTGTTCATAGTGTGGGTAGTAACGAGTAGTAGTGCCAATGCATACTGTTCTTGTGATTTCTGAACAACACCGATACGAAAGTTTTTGTACACCAAATGTTACAGCACCATGGCCTTCCATAATGCCCCGCATTTGCTCTTGAAGAGCTTCGATGGGATCTTTTCTCTTCCTTGTAAAGAGCTTCTGCATCTCCATCTGGCCAAAAGTGATCTTCAGGGACAGGCAAACTGCATCAGGCATTTCCCGGCCTTTTGATTCCCTGCATTCTGAATGGCTTTGAGGAAATCCGCGTCCTTGCGAAGACTGCCGATGTTCGCTCACTCCAAGTGGACCCTGTATTCAAGTCGCACACACTCCACATGTGAAATATTCTAGATTCTAGACATAATTCCATGCTGTACAGTAAAACAAGAAAGAGTACAAGTCAGAGTAGTCAAATCTGTTGACTGGAAAGGGCCAACGGTGGAATCTAAAAACAGTATAACCTTGTGCCATTCTACTTTCATCACTTGTGCCCATCGAACCTCCTGCTGTCTCTTCAGTAGTTGCAGCACCTCCGTTTGCTTTACAGGTCTCAAATCACAACATGTTCATTCAACAGGCATGGAACAACATTCCGACCCCTAGGGAAAATATGGGAAAATATTCATCACCATGTGGGCTGCCATGGGCTGATGGAGTTTCGGCGCCTTGCTCTCAAGGCCAGGAGCTGATGGTTGCAGCGTCTCCTCCAGTGCTCCCGCGATTCAAGTGGTGTCATGACTGATATGTGGGTGAGGTGAAGATGTGCGACTTTCATCAGGTCTATGTGATACAAGGCTTCCTTGCACTGCTTTGTACTGCAGACTGCTGGCTCCGAAGTTGAAAAAAATAGACGCACATGTCTGGGGGGCGTTGTAATTTAGGAAGAGACTGAATCCAAGAGTTAATTGCTGTTTATCGCGTTGTAATAACCTACCTGGCTGCAATTAAATTGATCAAGTGTCCTGGCATTGTTGCAATCTCTTGTAGTGACTCAGTTGCAACTTGAAGCCATGTCAGCTTCTCTGTCCTGCTCCTCCCATTCCTTATCTTCCTTCGCATATGTCTCTTCTTGATAGACATAGCTGTCACCCTGCTGCAGCCGAGCAAACAAAGCAAACAAGGCACACATGGCGTTTCTTTCAGCGGCACCCCCCCCAAGGAAGCACCTCCCACCACTCTTCTAACCTGCTCAGTCCAGCCGGGGACGTGGCAGACCAAGCTGTTTGACGGTGTTAGATCACGTTAATATATGTGTTATATGTGTTATTTGATGCTGTGAAATGCGTGTTATCAATTGTTATCATGTTTTAAGTTTTTATAAGTTTTTATGTTTTTTCGTAGATTCGTTGTTCTCATGGTATGCTGCCCAGTAGCTCAGCAGGTTCGAACACTGAAGCCTCCCAGACACTCCAAAGACGGCGCAGTGCGGTTTCATTTCATGCATTTTCATGCTCTGTGGTTGCTGAAGCTCACTCGAGCTCACTGGCGCCCAGCCTTTTTGGAGTGTTTCGGGTTGGGTCGAGCCGACTGTGCCCTGAGTATTTTGGAAGTTCTGTAATGGACAGTCGGACAACAACTCAGTAAATCTTTGAAGCAAAGGATCAGTTCAAAAGTATCCAAAAGCAAAGGCATCTGCACCATAAGTCTGGACTACTTTCAAAGTGTCGGGCTCTTCCGTTTCCTTTTTTGCTTGCTTGGTTTGTTCAGATTTGATTGTTTTTTTTGCCTTTTCCGCCTGGAAGCGTTCAGAGATGACAATCTGCGGAATTTTCTGATTTTGGGACAGTAGCGCAACAGTAGCGCAACAGTAGCACCTCCGCCTTTTCTTTCTTCATTTCGGGAATCTGAGACTTTCTTCGCTCCTGGTGGATGTTGAGTCATGTCAAATCATGAATCATATCACAAAATTACATCAAAGAACTCCATGACCCAATGGATCCCATGGATAAATCTATTCACCCGTTTCATCAATTGCATATACTATACATTTTTTTTATGTATATGGAGGTTATCCAAAAATATGGTACCCGAAAACTGCCCTTACGCTGCGCTTTCGCGAACATTTCGCGCCCTTTCGCGCCCCAGCTGAATCGGGACATGGGATTATGATCAAGTTTTCGTGCGCAAATTCGTCGCAAAGGGAGGATTGTATTTAAAAACATTACTTATATCCGTTTTCAAAGCTGCTCTAGTTACATTCCTGCTGTGCGTGGTGAGTCTGTTCCGGTCCACAGAGTCGATGGCATGGGGCAAGTCAGTGTTCCTGTAAGGACGTTTGACTTCTGGACATTGGTTTCGCACCCAGGCCTCTTGGAGCCTACTCCTTGACTCATGGACAGCACAATGAAAGTCCTTCCCGCCAGGACGTGCGCAATGCAAGATGACTCACAGCAAAGGGTCCGCTGACAGCCAACATTGAAAAGCATCCAACAGTTCACCTCCCAATGTCGTCAGCTGGGTGGTCCAGCTGACGGCTTTGGGTTAGGTAAGCAACTGTCAGATGGACGCGGTGACGATGCTCTATGCTCTTGAAGTTTTTTTGCCCAAGCATTGTATCGGCTCTGACCGGATAGACCCGGCGGAACAGGGCGCTGCGCCTGGGTCGCCCGGGCAGAACAAAAAAGAAAGACACATCGTCCCAGCAGGCTTGTTTGGAGCCCTCTGATTCTTCGTGGGGGCCTGTCGCTATCGTGTGGCCCCACTTGGATACCTTGGTTCCAAGTGGGTCTCCCCACCAGCCAACCTCCTGGGGGGGACTCAAGGATCTACCCAACCCAGGCCTCATAGGATGTTTCCTCCAAGTTTTGGAGAGAACATCCAATGAGGCGGTTAAAGTTGTTATCCCAAGCCAAACTGCTTGACTCACAGGCGCATCATCAAAAATGTACCGAAGAATTGATTTTAAACTTGCCCAACCAGCTGCTGCACTGGAGCCCGAGAACAGCAGTTGACTCACAGACTGCACAATGCAAGTCCTTTCAGCAAGGACCTGCGCAATGCAAGGAAGCTCCAGCCCAATCAAATCGCAAACACATGTTCAAATCTGTGGCAATTTTAATCAGCAACCATCTCCAGTACGGCATTGCGACAAAGAGATCAGAAAATGTTCCTCACCAACTCACCGCCGTTCTGTGCTAGCATTTACAAAACAAATAATCTCTAAGATTGTGTTTAACAGCCAACAGCTCTTCCCCCAGGGCTTAACAGCATTCTTGAAGGCAGGGACTGGTGACACTATAGCATAGCTTCATGCATCCTGTTTTCCGTCAATTGTAAGGACTTCGACACAACTTCCGACCACCGAAATGCCAAGCACACAGAGACATGTTCAGGATCAACAAACTCAATCAACCAGTCAAGACTTCAGCTTCCTCATGCACAAAATTTGAGGAGGTCCGATCAAGTCGTCATTGCATGTTCAAAGCTGCCCAAGAATCCATGGAGTCTGGCGGCCAGCAGGTGTTTCTGTACAAGGACGCTTTGTGCGTCCAATACCCGCTGACCTCCTTTGGACTGGAGGCGGGGGGGTTCTTGTGAAGCACTCCGACGCCTCCTGTCTCAAGCAATTTGGACCGGCCAGCAGGTGCTTCTGTACAAGGACGCTTTCCGTCCTGCTGTCCTTTGGACCGGATACGCCGCTGACTGACCTCCTTTGGACTGGAGGCGGGGGGGTTCTTGTGAAGCACTCCGACGCCTCCTGTCTCAAGCAATTTGGACCGGCCAGCAGGTGTTTCTGTACAAGGACGCTTTGTGCGTCCCACACCCGCTGACCGCCTTTGGACCGGAGGGGGGAGAACATGACAACATCAATCTGACAATTCATGGCAATTTAATGAATCATATCGATGGCAGCCAGCAGGTGTTTCTGTACAAGGACGCTTTGTGCGTGCAACACCCGCTGACTCAATGTATCCTTCAGCAACGTCTGCAGCAAACCCTTCTGTCCTCTTCTTTCTTGATTGTCTTTTTCTTTTTCCCTTCCTCCTGACTCGCTCTTGCTAGGCAGGGTTTCATGAAAGTTGAGTTTTAGCTGTGATAACAGGATTGAAATGCTGCGAGGATATAACATGATAAAATATGACTATAGTCTAAGCCTAAGCGTGTCGAAGCGGTCAAGTCAAACTGTACGATGCTTGTCATGTCCTCTTCCTTCTTGACCAACTCTTTCCTCTTCCTTTCCTCCTGGATCTCCACCAGGCAATGCTAACTGTGTCCAGGCTCATGTCACATCACTATTTCTTACATCTTTCCGCGCCTCTTCTTGCTTCTTCGCCTTCTTCTTCTTCGCCTTGCAGCAGGAAGAGACAAAACAAATATTCAACACATGTCCCTGTTTGGAGGACCCTTGCATCTACGTCTTTTTACAACTGTTCTTGCTCCGGCCGCTCCTCCAGCTCCCTCACTTTCTCCATGTCTGCTATGTGCTTGGCATCTTCATCGGTGTCCTTCAAACAGGACAAAAGGATTAAGAGGATCAAAGGATCAAAGGGAACTGAATCTACCACCACTGCTTCCACTTCCTCCTCAAGCCCTCGAGTCGTTTGCTTCTCAAGCGTGATTGAAACAATCAAATTTAATGGATCAATGTCAGGTCCCGCGAGCCCGCTAACTGCATCTAGCGGCATGTATGCTAATGTTTAGATATGTTTGCCCGTTGTATCAATTGTATCCATAAGCATGATTCGTCGAAAGGATCCGCTGAGCTTCTTAATGTTATCCGGACGTTGGAGTGAAACACTGCAGACTTGACCAAGAATGCATTGATGCATCTAAGATTTCACACAGGTTCCCTGAAACTGGGTCATGCCTCGTTCATGCAATACACCGTTTGCTGGTCGTTCACATCATCCTGCAACAGCTCAGCACAAACACTCCCAAAAACACGACGGTCTTGTTCCACTCGTCCACCAAAACATTCTGAAGAAAGTTTGAGCATGTTTGAACTGCGTTCACAGCCCTTGCAAGACATGTGACCAACTGTTGGTGCGTCCTGAAATTTAAAGTCTCAGAAAAGTTTTAGCACTCTCCGTAGAACCATATCCACGTTTCAAGCTCATTGCTGAAATGGTCCTTTGTTCTTCCTGAAAAGCAAACGCACAAAAACACGCAAACCAAAAAACAAACTATTAAACTTATTATATAAACTACTTCGTCATCTTCGTTCTTCGTGGTCCTTACGAGCTATGGTCTGCTTCTTGATCCTGGTGCGCAACTCACCTGGACATCGTTGAACTCAACAGGACTCAACAGGACTCAACAGGACTCAACAGGACTTGACACAGCTCAAACATTCCACACCCAAAGCTCAGGCCACTCGTGAGCTCGTGAGCTCAGCCATCACGCACCAGGTTAAAACTGTGTCCAGGCCACATGCTCTGCTGAAGGAGTACTCCCCTCCTTCGGTTACTGGGTAAGAAACTCAGAACCTATATTGGGTTTGCATTTTCTCACCTGTGTTCTCTAAATCTCTTAACCTCATTCTGCAACATTTCCACCACCACTTTCCTGACACATATGGATGCGCATGATTCAAACCTGACAGTCACTGACAGTTGGTCCTTTCTCTTCAAAAGCTTGCTTGAAATGAATCCCATCTACGAAGATGTCGCCTCAGGAGGATCAAGTCAATCACCAACTGACTTTTGACAACTGTTGAGAACTGTTCAAAATTCTTCAATTTTTCTTTAAATACATTTGAGATTCAGTCTTTGTCAGACATCAAGCCGGAACCTGATCTAAGCCTGGAGGCATTGGTTTTAGTCTCACCGACAGCTCAGATTCACCCAAAATTTGACTGTTTGAAACTCACAAAGTGCTGGCTCACTGGAGCTCGCTGCCAAAGTCGCTATCTTTCCAGCGATTGTCGTTGCCAGGCTGTTTCAAGAGCTGCGGCTCGAAAAGGAAGCACTGGTTGCACTGATCGTTCTCTTCCCTCCATACTTTCCTGGCGGCCACACAAAAGGACTGGCCTTAGCCAAAGCTTTGCAACTCCTTTTCCTTGACCCCAAGTTGCGCCGGTTGCGCTTGGACCATCTCACCAATGCAGCATCTGCTGCAAAGCCCTTTCGAAGATTCTCCAGAATCCTTGGCGGAGGCAATTATTAATGGAAAGTGAAAGTCAAAACGGCGAAGCTTAGCACCCGACTCAGGGATCAGCTCCCTCTTGATCACGAAGGCATGGGTCAAATAGACTGCATACGCGCGCATCACGTGTTCCTCGCACAAAGGAAAGTAAGTGGATTCTTTTGATGGCACACAATGTCACAAGTTCTCTACAGTTTTTGTTAATGTCAGGAACAAAAAATCATGAAGATTGACTGTAAATCTCCTCGCATTCATTGGTTATAGCCCACATGCCATTCACATCCGCAACACCCTTTCCCCAGAAAGCCAGCCATCAATCCAGCGGCTCCCAGGCAGGCAGCAAAACAAAGCACTTCTACTTGCAGAAGTGAATAAAGCTGGACGAGCACAACCTACTTACTGTATATCAACGCAATGTCCGTAGCAAATGTTAACGCAACCTTTCCATCCGATTTAACCTGACCCTCTGAATTTTCAGCCCAGCTTCGTTGATCTTCCACTCGGCTTGCTCTTTCTTCCTGGCACACTCTGAAGAATATTCTCTGGGAGATTGCCGTGAGTTTGTCATAGTTTGTCTACATTGACGCACAGCAGGTGACTGACACTATCAAACGCTCATGCGACAAGCGGCTTAACTGCCGTGCAAACGCTACCGCCGAGGTAGATCAATTGCCACTCAGGATAGCTCTGAGAGATCTCTCCTGGGTCCAAAGATCTTTTGAGAAGGAAGCATCTGGAGAGAATAGTGTAGTGACAACAATGGAGACTCGCTCGATGGCATTTCTGCCATAAGTTCATGAAGAATGTCAGTCTAGTGGTGAGCATTCAGGACAGGCAAAACACTAGTGAGCCAGGCAACTCATGTTGGTGTTGAAGGTACGTGTAAGTTCTTCTGCAGAAGAGGTCCCGAGGATGCAGTCCTTCGAAATATAGAACGTGCAATGTAGAAGGAAGAAGCCATCTGTAGTGATTCTCTTGTGCTGCGCAATCACACACAATCAACTATGCAGCTATGCAGTGAGATGATGTTGAGACTTTCATCGTCAGTCGCTGCAACGGACATAGTGCTCAACATCCAAAAAAAAGACTGTCACGGTTCAAGGTAAAGTGCCTAGATGCAGCATGGCAAAATTAATCAAGATCAATCAAGCACTTCCAGGGTGTCATTCCTTCTAGCATTACGAAAGCCAAAATCACAGCTGCTTGCACTGCTTGACCGTCAAGGATCGTCTTCCAGGATCAGGGCATATTGAAGCGTCGGATCCTCAAGAATCTTGTTGAGCACAACCTGCATCAACTGATTCTTCGCAGTATGGAAAAGTATGGCAAATGCATGCGGACTTTACGAACTCTACAGGGATCAGTTGATCAGCGATCATGCCAACTCTCTGGATTCAAAGCAGTTCTCGATATCCGCACCTGGTGCGATACACTGCCTCAGTAATCCAGGAAGTGGATGGAAGTGGCAGAACCGCGCAGAAATGAAGAGCGAAAAATAGAACAGATAGAAAACGATAGAAATTTCTAAAGATAAAGAAAAATGATAGAAATGATTTTCAGAAAATGCCATGACTCCATGACATGACAAAGATGACAAGGATGACAAGGTGCATCCAAGGTGCATCCAACGGCACCCCAGAGCTCGTGGCCCTTCTTGGCCAGGTCAGAGGACTTCACCCGGTGCATGGCCATGTTCATCAGTTGTTCTCGTGACTCCCCTTTCCTCAGACGCTCTGTGCTCTGGCAGAACATGATTTCAGAAATCGCTTCACCCATTCAACAATCTGAACACAACAAACAAAACAACTTGGATCCTACTGTGCGAACTGTGCATGTTATTTTGTTAACGGACTTGCTTCTGACCAAATGGTCGCCAACGGCCAAATTGGGCCAATTCAACCTTTTGCAAAGGCCCTTTTGGTACCAGCAAACTCTCCAAGCGGTTTAGCAACTATATTTTTCCCGGCCATTCACTTCGTTGCTGCTCAGGGGCCACTTAAACTTCGTGAGCCATGACCTTTGCTGAAGACCGCTGAAACCTCTAGGAGCAACGTCACCCTTTGGCTTCTCCCCAGGAGTAACTCTCGCAGCAATTTTCTTTGCAGCTTGTGCACGTTGAGTCCTGGCATTCTAGGTGAGCCACACGTCTCTCTGCAGAGTCAGAAATCACACCCAGTCCTGGTCAACTGCAAAGCTGCTGCTTTTTTTGCTGTGACATCCCTTTTTGTTTTTTTCACTTTCATCCTGACAGATGCGGTGCAATACAGAAAACAATGGAAATCACTGGAATTGGTTCAGTGCTCTTCATCTGCTCACTTCTTGTAGCATAGATTCATACTTGAAAACAGAGATCAGGTCGTATCCGTTCAAAGCTGAGTCCAACAATTTGGGAAGCGATGCAAAGCCAAAGCCAGGAAGTCCTCTTTGAGGCAGACGATGATCCTGCTTTGGACGCGGGTGATGATCCTCCTGATTGCCTTGCGAGAAATATCAAAATTCCTGCAACATGCGGCTTGAAGCTATAGCAGCTATGCAAAGACATTCAGCTTTAGTCTCGCCATCGCTCTCCAAACTGCAGCAGCGACACTAAGTTCTGCCATGACCACCATTCCGAAATATTCCAAATTCAGCTCATGACATGGCGTCGATAGCGTCGATATATCGTCGATATCATAGTGCAAAGCCGTGCAAAGTGTTGTCTGCTGCAAAGATTCCTTGAAGTCTTTGGTGCTCTGGAGGACTTTGGACGCCTTTCGTCCTTTTCGTCCTTCTTTCGGATTCTTTGGATTCTTTGGATCTCGAACTTGGCGCCAGGTGAGTTTCGGACTTCTTGCCCATCACATGCCTGCGCGACAACTCAGATTGACTGAGCTCAACAGTTTTCTCGACAACTTCGACAACTTGTGTGCGACCGTGTGCGACCGTGTGCGACATTGGACTTCGCTGGCGAAACCTCCACAATCTCGTAGTCGAGCTGCAACTTTTGGCAGAGCTCCTGGCTCGCAGAATGAGGGTCTGGGTATGTCTGGGTTCAATCTGTTGCGTAATGAAAATTCATGAAATGCCGTCCGACCGTCCAATTTGCTTCACTGTGACGACATGTGACGACTATGACTATGAGAAGTACAAAACGCCTCGATGTTCTTACGACGATCTTCTCTTCTCTTCAAGTTGATGACCTTGCTAGCCCCGCAACACAGAACCAAGATTATCCAAGCAAGTTCTTGATAGTTTTCAAAACCATGCACTGAGCCAAAGGGCAACCAAGCTGCAAAGGTCTTCAAGTTGCGAAGTTCTGGGATGGACTCGCTGTGTTTCTCGGCATTGCGTTTGCGATCTCTGGGTGCCTTCGTTTGGTCCTCTGGTGCCAGAGATCTCTAGATTTGCCGTGAGGAAAAGCGAAAGCGACACAAAATGAGCTCCTCAAAGGTGCTTCGTACAATGTCCACAGGATACACACTGATTACACTGACACTGACGCTCGCAGCATTCACAGCTAAACGACGCAGGCCACACCTCATGAACTGTAGCTTCCCCTATATCACCTATCCACCTGAAAGACACTGGCAAATTAAAGCTTTGTTTTGGTCACACGACGCTGCACTGTTTGTGGTGAAACCAAAATTTCAGACACCTTCGAAAACGTGTTGGAAAGGTTTCGGAAACCTGATGATCTCAGCCTACCCCGAAGGAAATTGACAAAGTCACAAGACTCGCATCAGATGAAGCCGAGGCATCAGCTGAAGCCGAGGCACGGGTAGAGGTTCATCTCTTTGACTCTGAACGTCCTCTCATCAATCGTCCGGCACACCCAGCCTTAGACAGACAAAGTACAAGGGTGCCCCAGTTCGTTTTCGAGATTCCTAACATTCATACAAATCCATACAAATCCTTTATATTCCTTTATTGCCTTGCAGCGCAGCAACATATCGAAAACATTAACATGTCATACAGTTTTGAGCCAAATTTCTGCAGCCGCTCTCCTTCTCCTCTCGTGAGACCAGTTTCACTTTCGTGCCGTTGTGTTCCTTAGATTCCAGCTGACAGGGAGAAGTAGACTCTAGAGCCTTTGGAAGGAGGATTGCTCACAATGGGCTTCGCTGACAGGTTTTGACTCGACAACATACCCTGGATTCAAATCCATATCGAGCAAAGGTGCAGGTTTCTGCTTCAAACGCCGAATAATAGCATAGCCATTCGCACACAGCGATGGACTAGACATCAACGGAAGAAACGAAGAAAACAGGCTAGTGGAAGTTTGAGTAGAGTCTATAAGATGCACTTAGAGAAATCATTTGGGCAGATTCATCATTGCATGTTGTCATGGAAAATTGGACTTCGGCAATACGACTTTCGATTTGAAATCGTTCCGGGCCCTCCTGTTCTTGTCTCTGCATCTTTATTTATATCTGCAGTATCTGCATACAGTCACATCCTGTTGCTTCGAACACAGAACGCATTATCTTCCCTAAGCCAAAGCCTGCGTACACAAAAGCAACTGTACCGGGATTGCGACCAAATTCAGACTGGCAACCTGTGCGGTCGAAGCCGCATCAGCACGAGTGCATCAATACAGCCACAATCCAACTGTCAACTGTCTTCAACTGATCACCTTAAAGCACAAGTGTCTTGGTGAACTTAAAGCCCTCCTTTTCCATCTTTGTCAAAGCAAATTCAGGGCTCCACACAGGAGCCCCAATAAACCACCGCACGCTTCTCTGGATCGTTTGTCTGATGGCTAATGTACAGTTTTTTTTCGCTCGTATGTCAGCGAGCTGGTGCTTATGAAACATCCACTCAAGGGCTCAACTTGTCCATACAGCTCAGAGGTCGTAACTCCAAATCCATGGAGTGTTGTAGGCCTGGGGAAGGGCAGGAGGTCACATTCGGACCCCCATGCGTCCCCCATGAGTCGCACGTGACCCTGCAGTAAAAAGTGGTCAATGTATGTCAATGTATAAGTTTGAGTCAGTTCTATTGCTTCGGGTGGTGTTGGGGTTGATGGGATTGAGATTGCTACCCATGAGGCAGCACAGTCTCAGGTCGTCTTTGCCCTCAGGGCTACTTTTGACCATACCCCTCTCAACAATGAACCCTAAGATTTATAACTACCCGTAGGTGACACCATACATGAACAACAACTTGTCCAAACATCATTCAAGGGAGAACTTCAAAAGCCCAATCACTTCTCAAGTACTGAAGTGAGAGTTTCATGTTCCCTCACCTTGACAAGTCCACAATGAGTCTTGTAATAAGTTGCGATTGAAACAGTTTCGGCTCATGCACTATCATGCACTGGAAATAGCCCTGTTTCATCCGTTTTTCTGGGGGACCCTACGGTCCAGGCGTTGCCAGACAGTGCGCAAACGTGCATCAGCATCAGACTGCGATGGCAGTCTTGGGTTAATAAGAGAACGCGTTCGAAGCTGTCATGTCTTGGGCAAAGCTGTCATGAAGCGTTCGAAAGTGCCATGCTAAACGCTAAAGTGCCAAACTCGGGAGTTCAGGCAGATCGCTGAGATGCTACACTGGACTGTGAACCACCTCTTCACCTGAAACCCAAGCCACCTGTTGTAAGCGGCGCACGGCACTGCGTTGTGCCAGGGTAGACGTCACAGCACCCAAGCACCTTTCGACCTGAAGCTGGGGGTGGCACATGGTGTTTCAATGGATTCATGGATCTTGATCTTGGACATGGCAGAGTTTCGTCCTGAAATTTGCCCTCTAACACCCGCCTCTTGAAGTTCTTGTTCCAACTGCCGCTCCTCCGACCAACAGGTGGCTGCACCTGGATATTCCTGCAGTAGAAAATCAAACGCTACTTTTACACTTGGTAGTTCGGAATCACTGAATTTGTTTAGGATAAATCCAACGCGGAGGACAGCTGTCAAAAGTCCTTCTTAAAAAAAAAAAGGATTCTTCAAAATGAACAGAGTCTGTTCAGAAGCAGGGAAGCGATACAACTCAGCCAAATTTGCAGCAAGCCTGAGCCGCAGCAACATCTGCCTCAGATTGAGCTGGAATATCTTGATCCCGTCGAACGCAGCTAAGACACAATATGAACACTTGTCAATTGCCAGGTGGGAAAATGGCACAATGGACCCTGCCTTCATGCACTGCAGCTTTTGGGAGCTCCTCGAGATATCTTCCTGGAGAGATTGAGAAACTGATTAGGATTCTCTTTCCAATCAAGTTCCGATTTTCTGACGAACCACTGTTTCATTTGCTCCTTGATCTCGTCTCGCTCTTGTGCCCACGCGGCACGAGCTTGCTCCATCCCCTGGCCAACTCAGCAGGAAAAAGCAAATCCATACTATGCCCCAATGAAGCGAATCCGAGTCGTAACAAAAATTAGTGACTGGAGCGACCTAGCATTTCCGATGGCATTGGGATGGATTGGGTAGGTTGAGCTGCTTTGGGTACCTGCTCCACTTCCTGTCGCAGCTTTTGCTGCAGTTCATGCTGTGCTCTCCAGAGAGTTCTTTCCTCAGCCATGGCCATGGGCCAGTGATGTAGTCCCAAATTCAACAAAAAAACTACACGAATGACCTGAACTGGAGAATCATTTCATGGCATCTGCCTGAAAAAGATTCGCCCAAAATTCTGGTGAGGAGGCACCCTCTCCAACGCACCATTCTCAACCAATGAACTTGATACGCGCATCTTGAGCTGTGCAACTTTGGTCGAGAGAGACCTCAGTCTCAGAAAGTTGCCTCTATCTTGCATACCTTTTCTCCAAAGAGTTTAAGCAAAGCCTGTCGGGAAATAGACAATCTCTGGCCAGAGTTCGAACGGATATGTGCATATACATGTGTGTATATGTATAGTTGTATGTGTATTTTAATATATATTATGTATTGATTTCTGATATGTGTATATTATAGACGGCGTGTTCAATTCATGTCAGTTACATAATGTAGATATACAAATGATAGACAGTACAGACATGCATTGTATCATACATTTAATGTTCAACATCACTAGTTCACCCAGGCACCCGAGCTTGGCCTCTTGTGCCACAAGGCTCTGCTCCACTTCATTTAGCTCTGCCTTCGGACCGGGCCACAGCTCAACATACTTTCATTTGCTTGAACATGGTGGTAAGAGTCAACCCTCAGACGGTGGAAAAATGGTGGCTTTCGACCAAATGCAACAGCCACAAGAGCTCGCGTAGCCTTCTCCTTTTGGTAAAGCCCTTCACAGCGCTTCCGATGCTCTGTGGCATCTGCATCTGCCGCGTCAGCATGGCTCTGCTGCTCGCGGAGCCTTGCCAAGTCTAAGTCTCTTCGAAGCTGTTCCTTGGTGTCGCTGTGTTCCAAATTGTTTCCCCATCCGGTTCCTCTCCAATTGTACCTAGGAACCTGAGAAGAGCCTGCAAACGCGGAACTCTTCCTCTGCAAAACAGTGGGCGAATTGCAAAAGAGCAAACAGAATTTCACAGTGACTAAAATGAAAAGAAAACCATTATTTTCCTGTCCAAACAAATTCCAAGCTTCATTCTGTGCCAAAGCTTCCTGCAGAGATTGCTGGGCTTCATAAAGCCTTTCTGCACCGCAAAGGGTTTCCAATCGTTCTCGTTCATCAATCAGCACCTGGTGCTATGCCAAAGCTACAAAATCACTTTGAAATGACAGGACGTATGCGTCAAAATGCGTGTATTCGTATGCATATGATACGCATGTAGTCTACTGTAGGTGTCTGTAGGTGTGAGAAGCAGTGATTCAGACCATCTGTAGACGTTCTCTGTAGGTCACAAGAGTTGGGCAAAATGAGGTGTGTGACATACCGTATGTCCAGAAAGCACGGAGATGGACGTGGCCAATCTGAAACACATGGGATCTTGAGCTAAACCTTTGATGCTCTGGATTGTTTGAGGAGTCATGGAGACAAACCTGTCGGAGGATGGGAGGTCTTGAAATCTTTATCCAGAGTCTCTGAAGAGATAGACAAACCGACAAACCCAAAAATAACCACATCAGAAGCTCCAAACACAAAATTGCTACATTGCCTCTTACCTAAGATCTTGAGTCTTTTGCCGAGCTGCACATGTCCTTGCTTGTGTTGCTTCAGCCGCAAGTCGCACGGTTTTGCAAGCAATTGTAGAGGTGTTCCTGCTCTCATCAGTTCCTTGCCTCAAAAGTTCAAGGCCATCAAGCTGCGTAGTGAGAGATTCAAAGGCCATACCAAGGAGAGAAGAGACAGGCCATTGGCAACACCGCATTCACTGCCGAATCCCCTGGACCTTTCGAAATGTTGGACCCAATCCACCACGAATCAAAGATTGCTGTAGTGGTAGTTTGGAAAGCGACTTGTTTGTCCCAAGAACATTTCATTTCGATGCTCAAAATATACTGCAAACCAAACGTGCCATTCATTGTCCTGGAAGATCTTGCAAGTACCTTCCCTCACACACATCCGCAACATCTCACAACATTCAGCAGAGGAACATGATTGCTTGGGAAGCTTTGGACGCATTGACAGCATTGGCACTGCGTTGCTTCTCTGAGATGCTTTGCTCATGCAACAAACGAGATATCTCCTGCAAACTCAAGATCCCGCAATAAATCTCTGGTTGCAGTTCTTTGTTGCTTATTGCTGCGCAATGCTGCTTATAGCTGCTTGCTGCTGCTTCAGGTTTCCATACTTTGCATCACTTCATATAACATCCTGACCACATCTGACCACATCGTTCAAACCTCACAAGCTCAAGCTCTGCCATTCTCTGCCCACCTGTGTGGCTTGGGCCTTGAGGCGCTCAGCCTGTTCTGCTATCGCCAACGCCTCCTTCTGCTGCCTCTCCAGTTGCTCAACACCCGCCTGGGACAGTGGTTTAAAAGTGTTGAAAGTTACCCCAAAGTTGCAGAACCGCCACTGCTTCACCTGTGCTCGGGGCATCTTCGATAACGTGCGAGTCTGGCTCTTCTGGCACTGCTAGACTATCTTGGCTATGTAGTCTATCTAGATTTTGCAGCTTCAGCCTTGTACTCTAGAATCTGCTGGATGATAAAAACACCACACCGCACAGCACACGTATCTTAAAGCTGAGACAGTAGCCTGTTTGTATGGTCCAACGGGGACACACACAAAATGACACAAACATACTGTAAATGTTTCAATGCGTTGGAACTGGCTGCATCGCTCAAGGGCAGTGCGCCTGTTCTCTTGCTGCCAACCGTGCTTGCAACGCTTTGACATGTTCCTGTCCAGGATATGTGAAAAGGGACCGAGCAAAACTGAGAATTAAACAAACATTTCTTACATTGTTGAAACTAAAATGAAACAGGTGAGGCACAATGAGAATTCAGATTTCATGTGTAGAATCGGTACTTCTCCTCGGTTGCCATGCTCAGCACGGACATCTGCCGACAACCCGCTGCAGCTCCCTCCACCAATGCCGCACCGCAGCGGCTCAAGGTTTCCTCATCAGACTGGAAACCACACGACTAGACAGATTCAGTCAGATTCAGATACCTGAAATGTGCAAATCATGCATTAAATATAGTATTCATACGGTCTTACTGGCTTCCTGAGGGAAACAATGTCGTGTCATCTCTAGATCTGGCTTTCAGATGCCTCTCACTACTGTGACATCATGTGACATTGTTGGAGGTGGTTGGTATTGTGCAGTGGACGCTGACAGCCCCGGTCATCGAATTGAAAATCGACGTCAACACTGAGAGCGCTATTCGATGCCCCAACTAGACTGCAGTGCAGTTGGGTATGGGTTTGCAAAACCAAAGCAGTCTTCAACTTCTGTCGAAGATCGCATTGTTTCTTTACAAGGAGGATTTCAAAACGGAAAAATATGTTTTTGCGTCCCGTTAGGTCCCCATTTTGCAGTGGGAACATGTCCACAATGTCACCGAGGTGTCCTTTCCCTTGGAGAGCTCTGCGCGAAGGCTGCCATCAAGGGTCCTCTGCATTTGCCTCCACGGCTAGTTCCGGGCTCCAGGACCCAGCAGGACGCGTCGCATTCCGAGGGTAACGGCAATGAATTAAGAATGATGTATGTAAGTATGTAAATATATATATATATTATATATTATATATATATATATTATATATATATGTAATTATATATATATAATTATATATATAATATGTATTGATTGCGCATTTACCCAGTTGACTCCATAGTTACTATTCAGAACATCCACAGACAACCTCCCCATGTCACTTTGATCGTTCAGTGTCACTTCGCACCTTAAATGCAGAATCTGCTGGGCCAGCTGTCGCAGCTGCATCGTTGCAGAAGCCAACTGCTGAAGAAGCTCGTCCTGAGCGAAATGCGCTCTGCGGGAATGACAAAAGGATGGCATACGCGGCATACCTCAAGGATCCTCAAGGACTCGACTCTGCACCATTTGCATTTGGATCCGTCTCGACTCCTTCTCCTTCTTTTGTTGCATCTCCATCTGCGATAGCAAGTCCTGCCATTTCGATTTGTGATTTGTCCTGTCCTCACAAGGCCTACTAAGACCTACTTTTTGGATCTTTTTAGCACAACAATTTGGCCGTGGGAAGGAGTGATTTGTCAGGAATCCATATCGGCCATATCAAATCAACACTACGTAGCGATCTTGAAAGCCTGGACCCACTGGACCCCATCTTTGCCTTGGACCTTTCGGAACTGGAAGTCAAGTCCAGGTGCCGCACATCCAAGGCTACCCTCAAAGCTTTTGACCCACCAAGAAGCTTCGCTCAAAGCCCATCCAATTTGCCCAACGACCTAATCCCAACCCGAAGAGAAACTGGTCAAAGCGCCAAGTCCGTACAGCATCCAGTCCTTGAATTCCGCATCCAGTTTTTGAAACCTGGAAGCCTGCAATCAGATATGACACCGCAATTCCAAAAACCTCGATACAATCTTTCTCATGAAACTGAAAGGGGCAGTGCTGCTTTCAAACATCTCGCGCGAGTCGGAAAAAAGGAGTGATTATAGACTTATAGAACATAAGGATACATAAGGCAAAGTTCAAAGTTCCATGATAACTTTAATAAGTTGTCAAAAGCCTGAGGTATCTAGAACTCAAAGTTTTCCCAGAGATTCCGATGGAGATTTCTGGCGCCTCCTGAAGGCTAAACTCGAGTGTTAACGCCTCCAAAGAAGCATTGCGATCACGTGACCTGGTTCAAACGAATTGTTGCAGCCCCATCTCAGAATCGTGAGGTGTCACAATTCAACAAGGCAGGAACATGATGGAACATGTATATGGCCGAAAGCATCACAATGGAATCGTGCACAGTAAACTGCATAAACGGTTGCTATCCAATTGAATCAACAAATTCGAGAAGTGGACTTCAATGAGATGATCCTCGGCGAATCCGCTCGGCTCTGTGAGTTTGGGTTCTCCCACTTTCACATGTTCAAACTCTTCATGCACTGAGCTAAAAAGCTTGGGCAATATGTTGGAGACCTGGACTTTGAAGTCTTAGCAATGCCAAAAAAAAGTTCTTTATGTCCAAGGACCAAGGCTCTCTTCCTTGCATTGCTCCAGGCGCTGCTGCAGTTGCCGCTCCTTTTGAAGGGCTTCTTGACGTTGCTGCTCCAATTCCTCCAGCTCAAACATCTCAAACCATATATCACCATGGTTTCACCACAGCCCACCATGGCCCTACGGCCCTACGGGTGTGGAAGTCTTTGGGCATGACCCTGGTGGAAGCAGGTGGAAGCAGGTGATCTTTGGAGCCAGGAAATCATCAAAATGACCAATTCACTAATTTCATGTTGATTTCCGTAGGGAAAAAAACCTGGAGACATCTGGAGACTAGAACTGCCATTGGAGCCCGATGGAGCCCGCGCCTCCTGCCATTGGGCCTGGTGTCGAAGCTCATCCTGGAGTCCACCACGGCGGCGGCGCACCTGACCGTTGACGCGTCAAAAGGCAGGACACAGTGGACGCAGTGACGCGACACATTGAAACAGTCGACAGGAAACAAAGTAAGAAACCTGCACCACAAACAACACACAAGACGAAGGAACAAGCGATTACCTTGATGCTAAGTTTTCTTCAAAACTGCGCAGCTACAACGCAAAAAATGTTCCCACATGGGTCCCAGGCAGAAGTGAGTGTCTCGCCCAGAGCTTCGCTGTTGCGTGCTCTGTGCATACTTTTCTGAATGGCCTCCCAGCGAAGCATAGCGAAGCTACCAACCTAACTTGCGTTGCTACAATTTTTGAAACAAAATGCAAATGTTTCAGCATCAAGCACAACCCAACTCACGGTTCCTAAGATTTCCTACAACAAGACGTCTATGCAACATACTGTGGATTGTTTTTTCTCACAAGTTCCTGGTTTGTAGTAGTTGTCACCGGCAATATGCTGCCCCAACAAACATGCAAATCGTGCAAATAAACTAATGGGGTCGTTTCTCCATGTCAACCTTTCAGAACTTGGTGTGCGGGAAATTATATATGAAAACTCATCGGAATGCACTTCCAAATTTGCTCTGTCGGGAAAAGTGGCATGAACACAGGACAATTTTATGGATTCTGGTGTGTAGTTTTCATATGTGTGCGTGTCTATTTTTGTGCATTGGTCGGACATCCCAAGCGACCAAAACTTAAAATGTGTTGAGAATAAGTGGGGCACGTGAAGCAAAATGCAACCATCACAACAGTTTTAGTCTATTTTTTTTCAAGCGAAATTCGCAAGTTTCGAATTGTTGTGAATGTTTGTGCAAACAAAAGAGTATATTCTCCCTGACCCCTCATTCACAACACACAACGGCCACACATTGTTTTGTGAAAAATGTTTCGTTGTCTGAGAAGCAATAGCAACCAAATCAGAACCTGTTGATATTTTGTTACTGACAACAGAATATCTTCATGCGCTGCAGGATTTTGCTGTCAAGTTGTCCTTTTGCTTGTGTAATTTTCAATGACGTGTCAGGCACATGTCCATGAAGCAGCAACCCTTGTTGATAGGTTGGAGCGTTACCGTCAAAGTTTGATACATATTAATATGCAAAACATTGCAAAACCACAACTACCGTGGCCATCCATGGCCAAAGTTGCTAGAACTACATCACATCGCCACAGAGACCTGGATTTCGCCATTGTCGCCACGCAACATGAACACAGAAGACGCGAAACAACATATCAAACCATTGAAAACAGCAAAAAATTTTGGCTGTGACAGTCTGGCAAATAACATATATTTTTTGCGGGATTTTTTCTGTAATTTCCCCATCTCCTTTTGGCACTTCATGATTTCCGTAATTCTAAATTTTGCTGTCCTATGCGGATCTACCTCATCCAAAAATCCCGTTTTACTCTTTCAACGTTGCCGTTTTCTATCAAGTCAATTGTTCCTTGTCTGGAACGGTATCGAATCATCTCGTTTGATCAAGCCAAGTCTACTTATTTGTTGGGTCGCAATCTTTAACTTAGCAACTGATTCGTTGCGAATAGACACACGGTCCAATTCCACATTTGCGATCTTTGGTTTCAAAACCAGGCAATGCAAAAACATGAGGGTGATCTGCCTACTGCAACAAAATTATATAAGAACAACTATTATTACCTCATGCATATCTTGACTTTTGTAGTTTTCCATGTTCGTGTAATTGCATTTTCATTTCGATTCAAGATATGTTAAAATCCAACATAAGCAGCGGATTTGATTGTGGTAGTGAACATTTTCACCAGCCAATAAATTGTCTGGTTCCTCTCCTGCAATTCATCGCAAAAGCGCCACACATGCTCCAATAGCCAACCCCCACTCCGCTCCATGGAGTCGGCAGAACAGGCATCCTGGCAGGATGTGAAAAGAGTTGATACAATTTGGTCATGACAGTGCATGGGATGTCAATATCACAACGAGCCAACTCACCATGCCTTGAGACGTTCAAAAGCAATGCCCAAGGAATGTTGCATGGACTCGCCCGCATGCAGTAGTTCCTCCTGTAGCAGTTGCACAAAAATTTTATAAAATTTATTTTGATTCCAATCCATGGCCTTGAGAGCGCTCTCTTGCAGAGTTAAGAGTTGCAATGACTCCACCTGGATCGGCAATTCGTAGTAGATGCACATCCAACCAAAAAAATTGAAGCGAATCAACAAATGAAACAAAACAAATTGATTCACGCGTTGCGACCCACAAAAAAAATCCGTTGAACTGTTGAACTGTTTTCCTTCACAGAAAAATAACCCGCATTGTTGCTGTGGGAAAAGAGCCTGCACGGGATCGACGCTTGCCACCGGCTCTGGCAATGCCATGATTTATGAGATTTGATGTCACCGGGTGTGTTGGCACGTCTGGAAGACCACTGACATTGTCATACCGGTTTGTTGTGAATCACCGTCAATTTCAATGTCTTGTGTTTTTCGCACGCAATTTGCACTAAGTAATGGTCGGATACCGGGTTCAAACCTGCACGTGAGACGGAAAGCACCAAGTCGTGGCCATGGATCGTCCAAATCAAAATTGCAAAACCATTTTCAATGCATTGATTTTGTTTGATTCATTTTTTCTGCCAAGCAGAAAGCATGGTGTTGCGACGTTTGGTGGGCAAAAACAACCGAAGCAGGCACATGTTTGCTCAGGATTGTTTAGACAAGTTCATGTGGTTTGGTCCGTTTTCCCTGTATTGAATATAATTGCAACAAAATATCAAACACAACACACACCCACACGCATGGCAAAAACTGGTTGACAAATCGGTATGTTGAAATGCGCCCGACATGCAAATCAACAGCATTTACATAATTACGCCGGCAGAGGCCTCAGATAGCAAAAGGTTTTCGTTGGCAGCCTGTACATGTTCCCGAAAGTTCCTGCAAAGGGTTTTCCCCAAAGAACTGCTGCCAAATTCATTTACACGCCACTTCCGTCCATTTCTTACATTCGTTACATCACCTACATCATCTACATCAACTTCATTTACATATTTGCATCAATTTCAATCAACGTCATCTACATACATCATCTACATCAACGTCAGTAAATGTTAGTCCCCTACATCCTTTACGTCACCTACACCATTTACAGTATCTACATCTGCGAAACCACAGGATGCAACACGGACCTTTTTGCTTGATCCACAGGGCCTCCAATGAATCCATGCATTTTGCATGATACTTGAATGACAAATGTGAAAAATCCAAGTCAAATCTGCAGTGACTGTCATCCTTGTGCAAGGGCCATGCATGGACATGAGTGGACTGCCAAAAGTTTCAGACTCCTCCTTGTACATGTGGAGCAAGGCTTGTGTTTGCATCCATTTTCCACCACGGCAGCTGCGCAATGTTTCAACTGCAGAAATCCCTTTAGGTTTCTTTGGACCAAGGTGTGCATGTCAGTGTCGTCACCTCCATGAACAATCCCTTGATTCTGGGTCCTAACAACATTCAAATAACGTTGCATACCCATGGTCCTTGCAGCTATCAGATTTGCACGCTCTAAAGTATACATCTGCTGACGCTGCAATGGTGTGAGGCCGTTGAAATTGGTGTAGCCTCCCATACTGATCAACCCCCATTAAATGTTTTCTGTGCTATCTGAGACCATCTCAATCTCTCCAGAAAGTTCCGTGTGCCCTGAGCGTAGGCGTCTCAGGTCTGCTTCAATTTGCGCCATCTTCTGCTGAAGAGTATACACAGCTGATTCCAGGGTAGCATATTGCGTGTAGAGATGTTCAAAGCTTGTGTAGGCGTCATTTGCCCGTTTGAACGTCCATCCCCAGAAAGCAAGCACTGTCAAAACCAAAATACTGCACATCAAAATGAACATGCAGGAATAACCCTCGTGTTGCAAATGATTGGGCTCAATGCTGCATTGGGCGTTGGATCCAGAGATGTCATCAGCACCAAGAGGCATAGCTGTTGCCCCCTGCAAAGGCTCAAGCAATCACTCTCGCAATGTTCTTGGCCAGTGCGTTGATTTGCTTCCCAGTGGAATGCTTTTGAAATTGCACTTCATACTCCTCCTGGCCAATGGTTTGATCACCTTCTGCACGTGCCATACCAACGCAATGCAGTAACATCTGAATGCGTTTGTTTGCTAAATGAAGGCCTGGTCCCAGCATCAGCCACATTCCATAGTGTGGGTACTTGTGTCAGTTGGACCTTACCCTCATGGACAACTTGTTGAATCCATAACAGTTACCCTGACACATGCTTCCACCGACCTGGTCCTTGACGCATGGCAACTTGCCTTGCAGAAGAAAAGTCAACAGTCAACCAGCAAATGGTGTTCAACGTGGCAGCCAGTGAGGAATTCAATGCAACGGCGTAAGTAGATTCCATCACAAAGCGCAGAAATCATGGAGGGCAACTCACTCTCACATGAGCTAAGGCTCACCACACGTTGCATTCTGCTGCCTGCAAAAAGAAATCCACCATTCAATGCATGAACTCCACAGCTTGTTGATCGTCGATGTTGTTTGTTTCCACTCCAATCTGAATCACTGACTGTTTCAATCACCCAAAAACGATCATAGCTTTTCCATTTTCCTTGACCTCCAATTGGCTTTTCCAAAACCATATAAAAGTCACTTGTTGTTTTCAAGTAACCAATCACCTTTCGAAGCCTGGAGGTTGCTGTCAGAGTTGGGCGGCTCATAGAACTGCTAAGTTCTTTGACGACAAAAAGTAGGTCTGGGCGGTCTCTTGCAAGGTAAAGGAGGGTACCTATCACAGCACGGAAGGCATGGGCATCACGTTGATGCACTTCTTCACTGACATCCTCTGTTTGGATCGAGGCGTCACAGGCAATTGTTTGGGGTCTGGCTTTTCCAAAGTTCTCCTCAAACAAGTCAATAACCTTTGAAGCTTTTGTACCTGGGATAAGGCACAGGCCTGATTCCAGTCTTTTGATTTTCCTTTCAGAAAAGTGATCTCGCTCCCAATGCCCTGCAACTGTGAATGGCTTATGTTATAGTGCTCCTTGAGCTTCTTCAAAAACACATTCTCCCAATACCATCCATCACCACAAAACATGACATCGTCCACATGAACCATCACACAACAATGACTGTTCTGTGCCATACAAGGTTGCCCAATGCACCAATGCATGTCCAAGTGCTGGTTGAGGAATTGTCGAAAACTCCAGACCACATCTTTGCACTTAAGCGTTGACCTTGTACATTTTTCTTCACTCGGTACAACCTATTGTGCAGGCTAACGGCCATTGGCTTTTCTTGATCAACCATCAGAAATTCATCTTCGATGCCAACCGTCCCCATAACCACAGAGTGCTTTCCAGTTTGCTGTTCAGTTGAGGCTTCATCACCTAACTTCTGCAAAAAGAGCATCGGCAAAATGTTCAGGATGTGTGTGTGCTGGTAGCTGGTGAGTAGGTGTCACTGCGGCATTCCATGGATGAGAATTCCCTTGCAACAAGTCTTGACCTTCTCCGCCATCTTTTGCATGAGATCCCATCCTTGGAAGTGAAGTCCTTGAGTCTCCAGTCGTAGACAAACTTTGTTGTAAGGTGCTCCTCATCAGTGAGCTGTTCAGCGTTCACCTCCTCCAGCACTTTCATTCCACATAATCTACCAAGCTCTACCATGTCAGCCAAACGATCAATCCATGGTTCAGGCGTCTCTGGCTGCTTGTCGATGGGGCAGTCAGACCATAGCTCATCTGGGATTTCACCTGAAGTTTCTCCTACATCATCCTCAATCCAACCATCTTCAACTTCCTGATCATCAAGACGCAATTCACTTTTGTAGTCATCCATGGTATGGTAGGTCTCATTGGAGGTCTTGGCTGCTCGAATCATTGAGCTGTATTCAGAACTGATCCTGTCCAAATGCTGCTTCTTGGCTGCTTCAACCCCTGCACGCTTGGTTTCATGATCATCATCACTTTCAACTTCATGAGTACGTGTTGTGGATGTATGGCGTGGTGTTCTGAGAGCTGTCAGAACCTTTTTTTCTGCCTGTGGAGGGTAGCGATGGGTGGAGGAAGAGAACTGGTTAGTCCTCCTAAGGAGGTGCTGGGTCGGAAGGAATGGGCAGTCCGGAAATGAACTACATGGTTCGAATGATTGCCTTGGAAAATCAGCGACTTCAATAAGAATTGGAGTTGATGAGAGGCTCGGTGGCCCGTGTGGATCGCAAAGCCTTCCTCTTGGACAAGTTCAACGAGGTGTCATGCCGGTTATGGGAGGTGGTCAACCTCCTCCACAGCCGAATCTCCCCGATGGCGCCACATCCACCTCCGAAGTCGCTTCACCTTTTTGCGGTGGTTCCACCGCCATTCCTCCCCGGGTTTCCCCTCCACCTTCTTCAATGGTGGGCGGCTCTCCAGCAAGTTCTTCGGCGGTTTCCCCGGTAGGCAGTCCAGCCCGCATGACCCATCGCCAGACCCCTACTTGAACCATTTTGTTGCAACCTTTTAGATGGCCGTACGGGGTTCTCAAGTGCTGCGCCCGTCACGCAAACAAATGGAATCTGTAAAATAATCGTACAAACAAAGAGCCCAACTAAACCCACCGCGCTGTGGCGAGAACACAATTTTGGTGTTGCGGGCCAGACGGTTTAGTACCCTACTAAACGCTCCGCGCTGTGGCGTGAGATCCATTTTGGCCGGTCAGCTTACATTCTAAGAAAGATTTTTTTAGTATAGTTTTTTTATCGAATTGAACCAACTATACGCTATACGCTGGCCATGTTTTTCCGCAAATTTCCACGGTTTTCAGGGTATAGTAGGCCAAGTTCATCAACTATACGCTCCGCGCTGTGGGAAAACGCACATCCTAGCTTGGCGGCTGTTGGGCTGCTTTTAGCAACCGCTGGCGGCGCTTTGCTGCCGACTTCTGTTCTTTCTTGTTCTCCGCGATGGTCTCAAGAGGGCCAACATCAGAAAACAGTGACAAATTGCATCTGCAAGCCAAAGCAACACAGTTGAGATGCCTGTCGCAACGCTTTGTGCTGCTGCTTCAAGTGGTTCAGCTCGCGTGCCAGAACCTGCAATACATTCCTCCACACATTGTGTTTCCTTTGTGACCCTAGAAACTAGGGCCATAAAGGACTTTGAACCTGCTGCCGCCAAAACCTTCCCCCATGGTACTAAGTACCGCCCTACTCCCGACAGAGAAGCTTTCAATCACAAGACTTTGAGACTTCAGATCCAACCCGCAAGGTACCCCCAAATGCGACCCCAACACCATGTTCCAGCCACTAACTAACCCACCAGGGGACGCCCAAGAGCCACATGAGCGATATCGCTGCAAGACAACAACAAAACCTACTCCAGCAACCCACCAACCGCCTGCAACCGAAACTG